GTGCTCTTGAGTTTGTATTAGAGTCTACCAAGTATTTTATGTGAAAGTCTTGCTTTGGTAAATTTACTTTTTTTTTTTTTCATTTTATCTTCATCTTATTTTTTGTTTTTGGTGGGAGTCGGGGTTGGGCATACCTGGTGATGCTTAGGGTTTACTCCTGGCTCTGCACTCAGGGATCACCCCTGGCAGGCTTGGGGACCATATGGCATAGTAGGGATTGAACCCAGGTTGGCTACATGCAAGGCAAATGCCCTACCCATTGTACTATTTCTCCAACTGCCTATCTTCATTTTAAACACAACCTCATATGTTCTTTTTAACTTCTAGTCTTTGAAATGATTGTAGAAAAGAACTTTTTTTTTAATGGAGGACAAAATGCTGAACAAAAAAAAAAAGCTGAACAAAGTAGTAACGTAGGGTTTTGATTTAAGTTTGAAATAAAGGGGTCAGGAGCTGGAGCAATAGCACAGCAGGTAGGGCGTTTGCCTTATACGCGGCCGACCCAGATTCGATTCCCAGCATCCAATATGGTCCCCTGGGTACCGCCAGGGTGATTCTTGAGTGCAGAACCAGGAGTAACCCCTGTGCATTGCCAGGTGTGACACAAAAAGCAAAAAAATAAAAATAAAATAAAGGAGTCAGAATGACCTGGGTTCAGTCCCTGGCACCCCAAACACTACCAAGAGTGATTCCTGAGCGCAGAACCAAGAATAACCCCTGGTTATGGTCAGGCATGGTCAAAAAAATATTGATACTATTTTTCAAGTAATTGGTTATTTAGTTCCAGTATAAAAGACATAGTGCTGCCTTTGTGTAAACACAGCTTTCCTGCAGTACAATTAAGTGGGGTTTTTTTTTCCCAGAAACTGATTATTTCAGAAACTCTCCCTATAATTTTTCTTTGCATACATTTTCATATGCTGTCCCAAAGAAAGATGCTGAAACAGTCAAACCTGTGAGATCAAATACTTGTGGTAAGATGTTTTGCATAAGAAATAGATGTTCAATATCAGACAAATGTGTTTCATTTGTAACAAGATTTAGAGATAATATATCGCAGTTAGGAGCAGGCAGATGGCTCAGAGGGTTAGTGCACGTGTGAGATTGCACTTTACATGAATGATCCCCAGGTTTGTACATTCCTGGCCCTTTAACACCACCAGGAGGGAACCCCAAGCACCACTATTTATAGTCCAAAGTGGGGGGGGGGAATAAAAGTAATACTTAAAAAATATATACAAGATACCAGGTTAACTTTAGTAATTTCTCTTAAATACTAATCATCTTTGAAAAGAGCTTATAATGTCTTGGTTTTTCCAGCCAAAATAAATCTTCACTAATCTTTCCTATTTAACAAGGAAATCCTAATAGTTGTTTACCCTGTCCCAACCCTAGTGATTCAGTCAGTGGCTTTCAAAGACAATATAGCGCAAGAGAGAATTTGAGAGACAAAGAAAATTAAAACAGAATCAAGGGACCATACAGAGAGTACAGGAGGTAAGCTGCTTGCCTCACCTGTGACCAACATGGTTTGATCCCCAGAACCCTATATGGTCCACTGAACATTACAGGGTGTGTCTCCCCAACCACAAAATCCTATTTCCATCTTCCAGGTGAGAGGGCAGGTGGGGAGAGAACCCGTGGGGAGCACAGCCTACTGGGGCGTAGCTCTACCCCAGGTCTCCAGTGGAAAGGAAGTGGAAGACTGCCAGGTGAGCGCTGGGGGCTGGCTCCCGGGAAGGTGCTCTGGAATGTCTTCCCACACTAGGTTCTAAAATTCCACTTCACACCTCAGAAATTGTTAGTCCACTGTAAAGTTTGGTCTTTCATCTTATACTAGCTATCAGTTTTCTCCCTGCGGTAACAAATTACTGAGCTAGCAGCTTAAGACACGGCTTCTGAACTCAGATCTATAGTTCTGAAATCTAGTGAAGGTTACATGGGACTAAAGGTGTATCTCTCAGGGCCTACCCCATCTCTTTGGAAGGTTGGGGCCACACCTGGATGATACTTAGGGCTTACTCCTGGCTCTGTGCTCAAGGAACCATATGCAGTGCCAGGGACTACATCAAACAAGGGTAGGCCACACCACCTGACTCTTACCTGGAGTCTGGGAGGATAAACTGCTTCAGGCCAGCAAGCTGTCAGCTGACTCCCACTCCATGCCATTGTAGAACATGCATCGCCACTCTGGCTGTTCACTATTCTGCTCTCTGGTCTCCAAACTGTTCCCTGAGGTCCAACACTGATGCTCAGTGCTACTCATAACTCATACTCATCCAGCAATTCTTTGTTGCCAGGTCTTACTGATGCTAATGTCTCTCCCAGGGACCAGAGAGATAGTACAGTGGGTAGGGCATGAGCTGTGCATGTGGCTGACCCAGGTTTGGTCCCACGTACCCCATAGAGTTCCCTGAGCCTGCCAGGAGTGATTCCTGAGTACTTCCAGGTGTGGCCCCAAAACAAAAACCAAAAGGGGGCATACCTGAGCAGCCCAGAATTATCTGTCCCTCCCACAATCATAATCTTAAAAACAAACAAAATGTCTTGCCATGCAAAGTAACATATTCCCACAATCCAGGAACACCTCTGAGATGCCCGTAGTTGGAGCCACGCATGAGCCACTTGCCAAGCTCAATTATGAAGGACAGGTGTCCTCTCATGACTAAACTCAGTGTCAGAGTGACTGCTCCATGCTTGAAAATTCTATTTTATTGGCTGTTTTCTGGGTCACCTGTACTACCAGTTCTTGTTTTCAAGTTAACTGATGTAGATGTAGTTAGCTTGTTTGCAGTTAACTGATGTAGAGGTAGTTCTCTTGTTTGCAGTTAACTTGTAGAAGTGTGGTTCTTGGGCTAGGGAGGTGGTCCAAGGACTGGAGCACCAGCTTTGCATGTTGGAGAACACACGGCCCCCACTCCCAGCGCAACCCCCAGGCATGGAGCAAGGAGTTAGTCCACCTCCCACCACCAGGTATGACCCAATAACCAAGAAAAAGGTCTGATTCTTGGTCTAAGCAGTAAAAATGGGATCCTTTTAAATGCCGTTTATTGAAAAGAATGTCAGCCAGAACCTTGCTTTGACCCCTGACTGGCTCCCTTCCTCAGCCCCGCCCAGCCCCGTCCACCCCACCACATCCCTGAGGGTCAGGGGTCCAGAGAACAGGGAGCATCACAAATCTGTCATTTTCTGCATCTTTTCCTCCTCCCTTCCTTGTCTGCGATGACCCGGTGGTTCACCCACTGGGTTGCAAGGCTTCCTGGGAGGTCTCACACCTTATGTCTGCAGTGGTAAGATATTGGTCACACTCTTGTAGCACTGAGGGGCCCAGGAGAAGTGCTAGGATGGCTCTCTGAGCCCTTGGGGCAGTTCCAAGATTACAGGGCAGGTCCCTGCCCTTCCAAGAGTCCATTGGCCAGCAGTTTGACTGGGTAACTGGACAGCCCAGAGCACCTATGTGAATGGCCTAGTGCTTTGTTGCCTGTTGATATAATCCAAATTATGGCACTTGCTGGAATGGCGTGTTTTCTTTCCTATTGAAGTTTCCTTTTGAGTATTGGGTAATGGGAGAGAGTGTTCGGGGTGCAGGGGGGCAGTTTTATATATATAAAAAAGTAAAAAGGAGGGCTGCAGCGATAGTACAGCAGATAGGGAATTTGCCTTGCATGCGGCCGACCTGAGTTCAATCCCTGACATTCCATATTGTCCCCCAAGCACCGCCAGGACTGGTTCCTGAGTGTAGAGCCAGGAGTAACCCCTGAGCATCACTGGGTATGACTCAGAAATAAATAAATAATAAAAAGTAAAAGTAAAAAGGAATAGAAACTTAAGCCCCTAATCCACCCCCCTCTCCGCCCTCAGACTTTCCTAACTCTCAATCCTCTCCCCAAAGGCACCACTTTGGGGTTGCTCATTTACATCTAGTTCATACACAGCTTCAATTGCTGTCTGCAGTTTGCTGTTTATTCTTATTTCAGACCAAAAGGCTAATTCCTTTCCAGTTTGTGTATAAGGTGCTTATTCTGTGTGGTGTTGTCTTTACAGTTTCACTTTGCACTCTTTTCCCCCTTACAGAAGCATTTGCATCCAGTTGGTCTCATTTTTGAGAGAAGTAATGCAAGGTGACTTGCATCATTTCTTTCTTAACATTCATTTGAATAAGCAGATGATTTTGGGGGCGGAAAACAGGCTGTCCTGAGTAACATGGTTCTCCCCAACAGCTGCTTTTACTACTCATGCTTCCTGCTCCTAAAATAAGACAAACTCGAGCAAAAAGGCTGAGCTGTTTTTTTGGTGAGGGAAAAATCCCCTTGTAGAAATCAGCAGTGCAATCAGGGCCAGGAGGGAGATGGTCCAGAATATTTATAATGTAGGATGTGAACACAGAATATACAGCAAAATATATAGTCCAGATTTTCTTTTGATACAATATTTACTCTTTTACAAATTAAACATCATGTCTGCGTGAAATCAGCAATGTTCTAATGAAAAAATTTAGTGTGTTCATCAGAGAATAACAGCACCAAAGTATACCTAGCTAGACCCCTGCTAGGAATATACTAAAGGCATGTAGAGTTCATTTTTTAAGTCCTTATCCCAAACACCACCTTCAAGAAAACAGAAATTGCCTTCCCATGACATTCACAATTTAAAATGAGTGTCTGGAACAATGTCAAACTCTTCTGGTTTTGTAAAATTGAAAGTAGGGAAAATACATGAAAAGTGATGGCTAGGCTCATTTTTTCCGCAGGGAAAATAAACACAAAAAATACAGTCCTTAGGATTCTCAAAGCTCTTCAGATTTGATACTGAGAGACCACCCCAGAACACTGCTTTTGAATTTATGTAGTACCTAGTGCCTAAACATTGAGGTAAGCTATAATGCAGAATCACCATTTCTTAAACTGCTTCTGTAAATTAGTTTCACTCATCTGCTTTTAACATGCATCTGACCTAAGCTCCAAAGTATTATCTTGATGCAAAAAATTCCAGACTCAACCAACAGTGTATACTTGTAATTCCCATATGACGTTACTCATGAGCTCGTCCCAAAGCACGGAGCCCATTCAAGCTGATACAGAGAATTAGTGGGAACACATGAGGGTCCTGATGGCTGCTGGCTTTCACAGATGTCTGCAACCTCTCCAGGTGAATGTTGGCGTAGGCAAACAGCCGCTGCACGATCCCAAATCTTTCTGCATCCTGCAGAGGCACCAAGACTGGGTCCCCGAGGTCTGACACCCCATCCTCAGACAGAGCCCGGAGCTGAAGGAACACAGTGAGACAGACAGAGTTGGAGAGTAATGCACGTCAAGGTGATTATGGAAGACCAAATTAAGTTGTTTTGCTTCCCCAAACAGAACAGGAAAACTATTGAGATATATTTCAGCCAGGCCACAACATCAGATTAAATCTGACCCGATCTTACTTAATCCTGGAATCCCCATCTCTTCTGAACCAACTTCTCCTAGGTCCATGAACTCCAGAGCAAGAGAGATGTCAGAATGTAACTTCCACTTATGCTGTAGGCAAGGTTTGTTTTGTCTCTTAATGGTGGTAACAGAATTTCTTAACTATTTGCACAAGCACCTCAAAATTAGTAGTTGTATTTTAGTTATGCTTCCTTTTTCAAGAACCTTTGCCCTTGATGTTGGTCCTACCTGGGATACTTTTCCTGTAGAGCACCTGAAGGTCCTTGTCTTCCATGTCTAAGTCCCTAGGGATAATATACGCCATCCACCTATTGCCAGGTCACTGAAACACTATTAGGTCTTCACATCTTAACCATCTCTAAGATCATCTTGCTAAAATCACAGTTTAGTCTTTTCAGTAAAACTGAATCCACTCAGGAAATCATATTCATGGGTTACCCTGTCTAGTATATATCAAATGAAGGTTCCTCAAAAGACCACTTTAGACCCTGCGCTAATTATAGCTACTCAAAATGTTTTTATTCTGCTTTTTTGGTGCTGTCTTAATTCTTTTCAGTTGAGGTAAAACTGACATATGGCTTTCATTTCAGTTGTAAAGTAAAGTAAAGGCCCTCCCGTTGATCGTCGATTTGCTTGAGCGGGACCAGTAACGTCTCCATTGGAGACTTTGTTGTTACTGTGTCTGGCATATCCAATACTCTCGGTAGCTTGCCGGGCTCTCCGAGAGGGGCGGAGGAATCGAACTCAGGTCGGCCATGTTGGCCGCTTGTAAGGCGAACGCCCCAGCTCCATGAGCACCACAATAGCTGTTTGCCATCATGACCATATAAATGTACATCATCTTTCACCTTGTGACATGCATCTTTAAGATTGATTCCTGGCAGTTTTCAAGTAGGCACTATAAGATGACTGACATAATCATCATACTGTGTGCTAAACACCTTATATATTGGGAAGTCGGTGCCTCTCCCACATACACTGGGAATTTCACTGCCAACACACAGAGTTCCTCTCTGCCCTCATCCTAGCCAGCACTTGTTATTTCTCGCCTTTTAATTACAGTCATTCTGACAGATGTGAGGTCATCTCATTGTGGTTTCAATATGTAATACTCTGATGGCTAGTAATGTTCACTGTCTTTTCATGTGTTTGAAAAAACGTCTTCCTATCTGCTACTCCTTTATTTATTTGTTTTCTGCAGTGCCAGTAATAAAACATACAAGGCCTAAGCTATACTGCTAAACCAGTTTGGGACATTAATCCTTATTAAGTGGTTTGCAAGTATTTCCTATTATTGGGAGCTTCCCATTTAATTTTGTTGATTTCCTTTCCTGTGTGACACTTTCTCAATTGAGGTCATCCTAACTGCATGCTTTGGTTTTATTTGCTTTTATATATGATTATTGCCTGCAGTTTAATGCTATAGGTTCTATGTTTAAGTTTTTCATTCATTTTAGTAGTTTTTATATATGAGAGAATAGCGGTTCAGTTTTCTCAGCAACATTTATTAGAGACTGCCCCTTCCCCTGTGTATATCTCAGGTCCTTTGTTGTACATTAGATGACCATATATGTACAGGGATGTTTCTTGGCACTCTCTTATGTACCATTAAGCTAATTATCCTGTTTCTTTTTGGTCCACACCTGACTCTGTTGGGGATCATGACACACGGGGATTGAACCCCACAGCAAAGTTCAGAGATGCGTCCAGCCCCTTTTTGTCTGATTTTAAATCGTTAAACCATACTGTTATGATTACTATAGATTTACGATACAACATGAAATTGGGGCATGTAAATGTCTCCAGCTTTGTTCTAAAGATTGCTTTAGATATTCAGGTTTTCTGTGATTCCCTAATTTACATGCTTTTAGAATACCATTGGCATTTGGATAGAGACAACATTGGAATTATAGATTCCTTTGGCCATAGTATGAACACTTTATGAACATTAACTATTCCCATTCACCAGCACGGACTGTCTGCTTATGTGTTTTATTCAAGTTATTTCTTTCATGCTTAAAGTTCAGTGTACAAATCTTTCACCACCTTAGTTAGGTTTATTCTTTTGATGCAATTGTATGTAGAATATTTTTCTTACTTTCCCTGGCAGCTTACTGATAGTTTTTAGAAATGCAGAAGGCTTCGGCATATGTATTTGAGGACTCACTTTTGTTCCCAAATGAGTGCCTGGGATCAAACCTGGGCCTGGAACATGCAAGGCATGTACTCTATCATTTGAATTCATCCCTAAAGATTGATTTATAATTCATTTATTAAATTTTGGTGAAATCTAGGATTGTCTACAAATTAAAATAGTTTAACTTCTTCCTTTCCAATCTGGATTTCTTTTATTTCTTGCCTAATTGCTCATGCTAGGACTCAATACTATGCTGAATAAAAGTAGGAAGAGTGAGTATCCTTGTCTTGGTGCAGATCTGGGAAGAAACCTTACCAGCGAGTATGATGTTAATAGTGGGCTTGTCCTATATGGCCATCATTTTACAAACGCTGACCCATTCTTATATCCCTGAAATAAATTCTACTTCATCTTGTTTTATGATCTTTTAATGAATGCATCACTGAATTTGATTTGCCTTTTTTTTTTTGCGCCAGTGAAATGTCAGGGTATTTTAAGGATCCTGATTTGTGCCCGTGACTTTTTTATAATAGCCTGTAGCAATACAAGTTTTCTAGTAAGTTTTTTTATTTTATTTATATATTTTGGATTTTTGGGTCACACCTGGTGATGGTCAGGGGTTACTTCTGGCTTTGCACTCAGGAATTACTCCTGGCATTGCTCGGGAACCATATGGGATGCCAGGATGTTGGGATCAAACCTGGGTTAGCCACGTGTAAGGCAAATGCCCTACCCGCTGTACTATTGCTCCAACCTCAAAGTTTAACTTTTAAACAAGCACTCATTGCCAGACCTGATTAATAATAGAGATAGAAACATTTAATAGACTTCCTGCATTTTTTAAATTTTAATTATGCATATATTAGCACAGCGGTAGGGCGTTCACCTTACAAGCGGCCAACATGGCCGACCCGAGTTCGATTCCTCCACCCCTCTCGGAGAGCCCGGCAAGCTACCGAGAGTATTCCATATGCCAGACACAGTAACAACAAAGTCTCCAATGGAGACGTTACTGGGCCCGCTCGAGCAAATTGAAGATCAACGGGAGGGCCTTTACCTTTACCTTTATATATTAACTGAATTCAACTTCTAGGGGTGGGAAGATAGCTTGTGGGACAGGTGCAACATCCCTTACCTGTAGTGGGATCCCTGGCACCTCCATATTTCAGATCTAGATACTGGTGAGACAAAACTAATCTTGTCTATTGATGATGCTAATTTACCACCTAACCTGTTTATCAGATGTTGCTGCATCTGACACTACCCAGAAAGCCTCTCAAAGTCACTGCGACCTGTAGACAAGAAAAATACTGAAATGCAGGTAAATGTGTGCCCCACAAATCCCTTTGAGAGCATGTAGTACCAAGATTCCTTCCAAAACCTGGCTATCTGGAGTTGTTGAAGTGTGTGGGGAAGGTTATGTCAAAACACAGTCACTGTCACTGTCACTGTCCTCCCGTCGGTCATTGATTTGCTTGAGTGGGCCCAATAACATTGTAAGACTTGTTACTGTGTTTGCCATATCAATTAAAGAAAAAAATTATTTTTAATGGATTGTTTTGTGCTAAAGTAGAATCCTAAAACTCTTGTGTTGTTCTATTGTCTACTCAAGGACACCAAGACAAGGGCCAGAGTGATAGTACAACGGGTAGGGCATTTGCCTTGCACGCGCCTGACCTGGGTTCGATCCCTGGCATCCCATATGGTTCTCTAAAGCACTGCCATGAGTAATTCCTGTGTGCAGAGCCAGAAATAACCCCTGAGCATTGCCAGCTGTGACCCAAAAAGCCAAAAAAAAAAAAAAAAACACCAAGACACTCAGAACATGAGAACAATGTAAAGCCTAGAGCTGAGTGTTGGTGTGCTGGGAAAAGGACGTGGCCAGCATGGTCACTGCAGTATTATGTACTTCCCGGACATAACTGAATACCGTAAATACTTAAAAGGGCCAATTTGATAAAAAGCAGTGCATTTGGTAGCTTCAGGAATCTGGAAAACACTTTTTTCTTAAGGGGTTGGGCAGGGCATTTGCCTTGCACGCAGCTGACCTGGGTTTGATCCCCGGCATCCCAAGTGGTCACCTGAGCCTGCCATGAATTATCCCTGAGTGCAGAGCCAGGAGTAACTCCTGAGCAGAAAAAATAAATTTTAAAACAGGAATTTGGGCCCTGGTGGAAGAATTAGGGTGGTGCGGTATACCCAGAAGTGCTCAGTGCTCAGGAGACCTTATGTAGTGTAAGACAAGCACTGCCTGCTATACTATCACTCTAGCTAGTGGGGAAAGATTGTGGGAACTGACACCAGGAACGTTTTCAAGCAGATAGGATAAGGATCCAGCCCTCTTGCTGAGTAGAATCAATGTGTCAGCTGTGAGTGGCATTTGAACTCCTCAGAATAATGCCCGTTTGCAGTCTTTGGTGGCACTTTGCACAGTAAAAACAACCCAAAATACTAACCGCAGCGGTCCGAGTTACCCAAGTGTTGATGAGCGAGGCATTCTCTGAGGGCCAGTTCTGGCCCTGTAGCACCTGCTGGTCTTTGACCCTCAGTAATCAAACCTTTAAACAATCTGCCTCCAGATGCTCTGCCCCACGCTGAGCGGCAAGTGTAGAAGCCCCAGGACAGGATCCATCCCACTAATGTTCTACTGATGTCCTACTAATAGAACAGCTTTTCTATTAGTGACCCCATTTGGGACATGAAACGGAAATGTGCCCTTGGCTTGCCAGGGCTAAGCTCATCATTACCTAACTCTTTCGATGGCATTTCCCAAGAGCATAATGCAAACAGAAAGAAGCTGACTGTAGCTGGCCTAGAAACACCAGTCAAATAGCATAGTGCAGGATCCCCTTCCCTGCACTCATCCTTGGCCAGAATTCTCTCCACGCAGGAGGATTTAGACTCTAAAGACAAGGCTGGTATCCTAGTCCTGCAGGTAAGCTCTTCAAATCCTCTCCTCCTGGGCCTCCATCTTCCTGTGTGGTTAAAAATCATCCTCGACAAAGTATGTTTTGACAGCTACTGAGGATGAGCACATCTAGAAGTTTATCCATTTCTTTACCATTTCCCTGTTCCTGCCCACCCCCAGTTCCCATTGGGAGGTTCCTTACCAAGTGGCACAGCGTAGGAATGATCTGGAGTGTACAGCAAGTACCCAGCAGAGCTGAAGCATTATCTGGCATTTCTGCAAGAGACAAAGACCCATCACTATCAAGGAACAAAACTCAGCCCCTAGAGTGCTCCTAACTGATGTTAGTGCTCTCCCATCAGCTGGCCGAAGCATAAGTGCAGTGAAAGGCCCTGCTAAACCAGCAGCCTCGGAAAGCCTTCTGAAAGCAGGGAGTAATGTGCTCTTTGTTCAGTAACAAGCTATGTCCCCAGTCAGTGGTCATCAGTAGCTTTGTGTGTGATTAACTCTGTGACAGTCACACATTGGTCTAACAACACATTTCTCAAAATGTATTTGTATCTTTAAATAACATGGCGATGAGCAGAAAATTCACAGGCCTTGCAGACAGGCACAATATATTTATACTGTCTCAAGAAAAAAATTCCAACCAATAATATCCTACAAAATTGTCATTCAGAACTAAAGGAAATGAACTTTTCCAGATCAACTAGATGAGTTTATCACATTAAACTGGCCTTAAGTGTGTAAGGGACTTATTTAAAATGAAGAGAAAGGGCTCTAATGACTAATAACAAGAAAGCAAAGTATAAATCTCACCAATACCCCAAAGCATTATACAGATTCAATGCAGTTCCTATAAAGATACTCATGATATATTCTTCAAAGAAATTGTTCAAACACCCCTGAAATTCATATGGAACAATAAGCCCCCACAAATAGCCAAAGCAATTCTTTAGGGAGAAAAGATGTAAGGCATCACCTGCCCTAACCTCAAACTGTACTACAAGAACAAAAGTAACAGCAACTGGTGTTGGCATGGATGTGGGGAGAAATGGACTTTCCTTCTCTGTTGGTGGGAATGCTGACTGGTCCAGCCTTTTTGGAAAACACTGAACATTTCTCAAAAAACTAGAAATTAAGCTCCCATTTGACCCAGCAACCACTTGTGGGAATATCCCCTGGAGGCCCATCTGCACTTCTATGTTCATTGCAGCACTATTCACCATAGCCAGAATCTGGAAACAACCTAAATGCCCTAGAACAGATGAATGGATAAAGAAACTATGGCACACCGACACAATGGAATATTATGCATCTGTCAGGAAAAATGCAGTCATGAACTTTGCCTATAAATGGATGGATATGGAGAGTATCATGCTGAGTGAAATGAGTCAGGAGGAAAGGGACAGATCTAGAATGACTGCATTCATTTTGGTTTATAAATACAAATATATATGTATGTGTATGTGTACAATAGAATAATAATATCCATGGCCAGGGAAAACAGGGATTAAGAAGACTGGTCAATGGTTGGAATAATTGTGTGTGGGGTAGAGGGTAGGTAAGATAGAGAAGAGACTGCTATGACAATAATAGCTGGGAATTATCACACTGGACAAGATCTGAGGGTTAAAAGTAGGTAAAGATATTCTGGATAACCTTTCAGTATCAATATTGCAAACTATGGTACCCAAAAGGAGAGAAAGAAGGAAGAAAAGCACCTGCCATAGAAGCAGGCAGTGGGTGGAGGGTGAGGGTTGATGGGAGGGAACCTGGGGACACTGGTGCTGGGAAATATACACTGGTAGAGGGATGGGTGTTGAAATATTGTATGACTGAAATCCAGTCATGAACAGCTTTGTAATTTAATTTAAAATAAATAAATCTCACCAATAGGGGCAGAGCATAGCACAGCAGTGGGGCACTGGCCTTGCACCCAGGTTTGGTCCCCAGCAGCCCATATGTTCCCCCGAGCCCACCAGGAGAGATTCCTGAGTGCAGAGCCAGGAATAACCCCTGAGCATTGCCAGTCATAGCCCCAAAACAAAAACAAACAAAAAACCTCACTGGTAAAGTAAAATGTGTAGTGAAAGTTAAAAGATAAAAATAGGACCGGGGCAATTGTTCAAAGGGCTGAAGTATGCAAGAGCCCAGGGTTTGAACCCCAGAACCATCTGGTCCCCTGTGCAATGTAGGAAACACCTCTGCTACACACACGCACACACACACACACACATGCGTGTGTGTGCGCGCACACATAAATAACTAAGCCATTTAGGAAATGCACAATAGTAAAATGCACAATAGTGCTTCAAAGCAGATAAAAATAGAAAGCTTTAGAATGTAGAGAATTACCAGTTTAAACACAGTTAAGTTGTTAACTGTAAGACCTTGGTAACCATTGCAAAAACCTACAATAGATACACAAAAGAGAAAAGAACAGAGGGGTGGGGCCAAGATGACCAAACAGGGAGAAGCTGTGCAAAGCAAGTCAGAGCAAATGTACAGCGAAATTTGGTTTAATCTGCAAGAGAAACAAACTTGAAACCCAGGTCAATAGAGCTTCCCCAGCCAGGCACAAAAGAGAAAAAAAAAAAAAAGAGAGAAACTCCTTAGCCAAAAAAGAGACCCCATGAAAACAAATTACCGTTCCAGAAAAGATTAAAAGGCATAGAACTTGGAGTGAGTGTTATACCAAACACCTAACACCCCAATCCTATTATGATCTGATACTGAGGTCACCAGCACAGGAAGCAAAGAACTCTGGTTGTAAAGCAGATTGAAGGTGCCAGTCTGGATAACCCTTCAACCTTGCTGAGGGCAGTGGTGGTGGACGCTATACTGGAACCCTCTCTCCATATTTGTATACCTTGAGACTTCACCGAGTAGTTGGGTTAGCTTAGGTCCGAGAAACAACTATCAAGAGTTCTTGCTTCTGGCCAGCGGACCCAGCCCCTGGTGGTTTCCACTTGACTCCGATCAAGCAAACTGTATCTCCTACAGTCTCAGTTCTCAGGCCTCCTCAGGCATGGCCAGTATAGAAGCAGTCCCCAGTGTCCAGTGGACTCAACTGCTAGCCCAGTCAGCTAGATACTGCCTCCCGCCAGTCATGATGGAAAGATAAAGAACTAGTATAACAAAGGTTCATATACTACCAGAGAGAGACTTCAACAGGATTCATGATGCTCAGTGAAATGAGGTCAATAGAACGAAAAGGATAGAAGCACAAGAGATGCCCAAACACGAATCCTAGAGCCAAGGAATATAGAAGCTGCATGTTTCACTTCCCAGTGTGGAGTGTCTGTCTTTGACTTCACGGACTTCTGTTCTCTTTCTGGACCCACATGAGCAGGTATTCTCTCCCTGTTCATAAATATTCTTTACTTCGCACAAACACACAAATATAACCGGGGCTAGAGAGATGGTAGAGGGAAGTTCATATCAATACAGGAAACAAGAATCTCAAGCCTTGCCCCTAAAGGGAACTCAAGAAAAACAAAGAAAATTAAAATTAGAGCAGAAATAAATGAAGTAGAACTCAAAAAGGCAACACAAATTGATCATGGAAATCAGAGCTAGTTTTCCAAATGTTAAAATTGGCAAACCCTATATTAGGCTCACTTAAAAAGAGGGACTAGAGTAATAATACAGCAGGTAGGATGTTTCCCTTGCATGTGTCCAACTCAGGATCAATCCCCAACATCCATGAGTCTGGCAGGAATAAGCCCCGAGCATCTCCAGGTGTGGCGCCCCTCCCCCCCAAAAAAGGAAAGGAAACCCTGATAAATAGGATCCGAAATGAAAGCAGGTGCCACGAATAAGATCATAAGAGGGACTGGAGCAGGTAGGGCATTTGCCTTGCATGCGGCCAACCAGGGTTTGATTCCCAGCATCCCATATGGTCCTCTGAGCACTGCCAGGAGTAATTCCTGAGTGCATCAGCCAGGAGTAACCCCTATGCATCACCGCGTGTGACCAAAAATAAAAGTAGGATGATAAATTGTTTCAAATAACTTTATACCATTTAATTGGGAATCCTAGAAGAAAGGGAAAATTCTTGGTATTTTATAACCACCAACACTGTGATGGTAGAAACAGAAAATCTGAGCAGACCAATTATAAGCAGTAAACAGAACATCAGAAACAGTAAAAGGAAAAAAACGTCTCCCAAAACAAAAGCCCAGAATGGCTCCACCAGTGAAAAAGAATAGCGTTTATTAAGGAAAGTCTCATCAAGCTGCAAGATTCTAAGGATTCTAAGGCAAAGGGGCTACAAAGACTCTTGGGCCTGGGTGTTCTCTCGCAGACTTTTTCTGTCAGACCACAGTGCCCAAAAAGAAAATAAGAAAGAGAGAGAGACAGAGACAGAGAGAGTCTGCCATAGAGTCAGGCTGCAGGGGTAGCAGGCAGGAGGGAAACTGGGGACACTGGTAGCAAGAAATGTACACTTGGTAAAGAGATGGTGCTAGAACAATGTATGACTGAAACTCAATCTTGAATAACTTTGTAACTATCTCATAGTGATTCAATTTTTTTAATTCTATTAAAATAACAAAAACAATTTTTGTCCATGTGTTTGGACAAGGCACAGCATACAAGGTTCAGCAGCCAACAGTAGCCCTGACAACAGCCACCCAAACTATGAATATTCTAAGCGTATTCTCCAGAGAAACAGAACAAATGTGACTGAAAACTATACAGAACTTCAGTCAAAGCAGCCCTGGGGGAAGGGGGGTGGAGGGGGAGTGTTGGCATCAATGCACCACAACTTCAAACTACACTACAAAGCTGTCATCATCAAAATAGTGTGTTGGAGTCAAACTAAACCCGTGATCATTGTGACCCGAACAGAGACCTGGAGGACAGTCTGTGAGTCTTTAATCGAGGGCAGGGGCACAACCTTTGCTCACGGGAGCCCCAGGCCCCTGCCCTGCCACCACATCATCTTCCTGTCCCCCCTCCTCCCAAGTTACTTCCTCAAGCCAACCCCCAGGCGCCAAATTAGGAAAAAATAAAAGAACAAAGACTCTGAAGATGATCCGATCTGTCCTTTGTGGTGCCGAGTTGGACCCTTGAACACATCCAAAACTCAGTGCCCTGATGTCACCATCAAGAGAAGTCGATAAGGGCCGGGCTCCTTCGCCTTGTCTTGCCTTTCTGAGGAGTCCAAAGCTTTGTGGGTGGGGCCCTGCTCTGTGAAGGATGCACCCTGGAGAGGCCCAGGGCAGGATCACAGCACCACTCTCGAGACACTGTCCACCACCCATGGGGCTGCCCTGGGTGAGATGAGAAGCAAAGGGAGAGAAGAGGGTGGGAATGCTAACTGCCAGGGGGGTGGGGGGGAGGGGCTTGAGAAGGGGCCAAAGGGAAGCCACTGCGTGAGGCTGCAGGATCCTCAGGGAGGACAGCTGGACCCTGAAGTACCTCCATGCTCAGAGTTCATCTCTGTACCCCCAGCAGTGCTGAAGGCGGGACCTCATTCCAAGCAAATCTCTCACAACGGCCATTCCTGTAACCCCAGGAGCACGAGAAGTGACGTGAAAGCAGAGACATTATCATTACCCCCCCCCACTTTCCTTCCATACCTGCCAGGGCACTGAGGAGGAAGTAGGCGGTGGACAGCAGCTTCGGGGTGCTGGCCTCATCCTCGGCTACAGATCCCTGCATGTGGCACCCCACCAGCTGCAAGAAGGCGGTGGCAGCCTCCTGCTGTGGTGGCGGCAGCTTCCCCAGCACGGCCTGGGGTGACAAGCCCCTCACCAGGTCGTCACACTGCCAGGAAGAAGGAAAAAATGGGTCAGAGGGATGCAGCCCGGAGCCCACCAAGCCCGAGGCCACCCCAAGAAACACCAGCATGTGCCCTTCCCAGCCCCCAAGGAAAGCAAGAACCAAGCTCGTTTGTCTGAATATTGCTAGTCTGAGGGATTCAATGTCCTAGCAGGGAGCTGGTGGAGGGGAGCCCCACCCAGAGACCCTGCTATTCCGGCCAGTGCACCGGGGGGATGGGCAGGGCTGGGGTGGCAGCCAGGAACAAAGCATTGTACGTGGAACTGAGGGGTGGAATGTACAAGCGTCATCTGTCCTGTCCTGAATCTCAAGCCTTAAACGTCTCAAGCCTCTTATACCCAGCCAGGCTCCGGGGGGGTAGGGGACTTGCCTATAGGAGCTGGTCATAGGCAAAGGACATCCCTAGAGCAGTTCTGCTCCCTCAATATAGACCTTTGTCTGGGCACCTGCGGGAGCTCGGATGACCTGCCAGTGTCCTCTGGAAAGGGGTGATTGCAGGAAGCTCAATATGGGCTCTGCCCATGGACTCTGCGGGCTGTTCAGACTGTTGGGTATTTCAGCCACTGGAAGTAACTGCACTCTACGTACGTACAATCCAATTTCAAGAGGGGGGGAAAATAACAGAAACTCTCTCCTGGAAACCTTAACGCATTTAATGAGAAAATCAGAGTTCAAGCTGTGTAACAGAAGAGAGGGAGGGAAACGAAACCCAAAACCTATAGTAAAAACAATTTTTATGGTGCCCCCCTCCCTCGGTGAGGTGGAAGTCAGTGTGGCAGCTGACGAGCTGACACTTCCCTCCCTCTGTACAGCTGAGGGCCTCAGAGACCCCAGAACTTCCTCTCACTGCAGAACAGAGAAGACCCCTGGGATAGGTCCAGCTCCTCATTTAGTGGCCTGGACAGTGCCCCGCCAACAGACATCCCACTCAGAACTTCATAGCGTGGCCTTATTTAGAACCAGAATTTTTGCAAATGTAATTAGGGGTGTCGGGATCCTGAGAGGAGAGATTCCCATAGTGGAATACACGCTAACTCCTTTAAGTCAGAGCTTTGCAAACTTTCTGCCTCTGGAGGCTGACCATGGTGCAGTGACTAGCAGTCAAAGAACATTCCTTTGAAAAACTCCAAAGGTTGGGGCCAGAGCGATAGCACAGCATTAGGTAGGGTGTTTGCCTTGCATGCGGCCAACCTGGGTTTGATCTCTGTCGTCCCATAGAGTCTCCTGGGCCAGCCAGGAGTGATTCCTGAGTGCAGAGCCAGGAGTAACCCTGAACTCTGTCAGGTGTGTGCCCAAAACCAAAAATAAAAATAGGAAAAAAATGCTCCAAAGACAATGAGCAGACACAGGGAAGGTAGAACACAGACCAGGGTGATGTGGCCACAAGCCAAGGAAGTCCCCTGGCTGCACAGGGCAAGAAGGATTCTCTCAGAGTCTTTGGGGAGAGGGTCCCTCAGAGACACCCGGGCTTCAGATCCCAACTCCCAGAACTGTATGAAGACAAACTTCCATTGTTTGAAGCCATGGAGTGTATGGTGGCTGGTTCCAGCAGTGCCAGGAAACACGGCCCCCTCCTCCATTCTAACCCCACCCCTGCCCACAGACCTACAGGATGCAGGCTTAAGGCACCTTCAGGGTTGCACATGGCCAACCCAGTGTCAAAGTCTGGATTCACACCTTAGCACAGAGCCAGGACTAAGCCCTAAGCACTGCTGAGTATAGCTGCGCCCGCCCCCCCGCCAATTTAAAAACATTTTTAAACACTATACAGTTCTTGGGGCCAAAGTGATAGTACAGTGGGTCCTCTGAGCAATCCCCGAGCATTGCTGAGTGTGACCCAAAAAGGCAATTAAAAAAGAACTAAAGAATATATAATAATATAGAGTTCTGAAGAGGTAACATTTTTTTTGTTTGGCAGCCACACCTGGTGATGCTCAGGGGTTACTCCTGGCTCTGCACTGAGGGGTCACTCCTGCCAGGGCTGGGGGACCATAAGAGGTACCGGGGATTAAATTTGGGCCAGCCACATGCCAGGCACACACCCTCCCCACTGTACAATCGCTCCAGTCCCAGAGGTAACACTTTAAACCCAAGCTAATCTCAGCTCTGCTGGAGCGATAGCACAGTGGGTAGGGCGTTTGCCTTGCATGCGGCCAGCCCAGGTTCGATTCCTCCGTCCCTCTCAGAAAACCCAGCAAGCTACCAACAGTATCCCGTACCACATGACAGAGCTTGGCAAGCTCCCCGTGGCATATTCGATATGCCAAAAACAGTAACAACAAATCTCACACTGGAGACGTTACTGGTGTCCGCTCGAGCAAATCGATGAACAACGGGAAGACAGTGCTACAGTACTATCCCAGATCAAAGGCCTGTCCCAAGAAGCTGAGCCCAGCCCCAAGTCGAGGACACGCAGGAGGAGACACATGCCACCAGCTGCCTTACCACTTGCTCCAGGACCAGAAGTAACTCATCGTCGAACAAGACGGTCTGGAGCACATCGTGCAGAGCTGTCTGCTGCTGGGTCGGCAGCTCCGTGAAGGGCTGGAAATCCTCCTCCAGGAGGCGGGCGGCTGTGGGGCGGAAGAGAGGCCTCCTGAGTGCCTGCGTGCCTAACCAGCCCAGTAAGGCCAGCCGCTCCGGGCTCTTAAAGCAGAGTGGCCTCTCTTCTGCAGGGGCACTTCAATTGCAGCTGGTCCCGGAACTAATAGGGCCCTAAATGCCACCCCAAGTGTGCCGGTAACTAAAGTACTCCAGAGCTAAGAGAGGAGCAGGGAGAGGGGCAGAGAAGGGGGTGGAGGTAGGGGACCGACACACAGCTTAGTTCCAGCATCATGCTCATCCCTGATGACTCACTAAGTGTTCATTAAGTCTAATCAGCTACTTCCTGTGTCCCTTGCAGAAGAAAATTATCAAAGCGAAATAAACATCAGTCGGTACTTTTATAATGCTCCGGAGTCCGATCCCGAAGTGTTTTGCGTGTCGGAACACATGTCAGATTGTGTGCCCTATCTACACATTTCTCAAAGGAGCCAGCATTCTACCTTTTTAAAAACTTTATCTAAGAACCAGACCTAGCAGTTTTTTGGGGAAAAGGGATCACCCAGCAGTGCTCTATGGTTCCCGGACTTTCTGGCAAACACAAATTCCTCCTCCTCCTCCTCCTCCTCCTCCTCCTCCTCCTCCACCACCACCTCTCCTTCTCCTCCCCCTCTTCTTCTTCCTCCTTCTCCTCCCCTCCTCTTCCTTCCCTCCTCCTCCTACTGCTGCCTGGGAAAGGGACCACATCCTGCCTCATGAAGCTTAGAGCTTTCAAAGACTACAGGATGCCTGAGCCCTTCTCCTTAGCACCTCGACAACTGCTGTTAGAAGAGGCCAAACACGGAGATAAAAGCTTCATCTGCTGCACCTACTGCATCTACTGCATGAACTCAGCCCCTGCACTGTCCACCAGGGCAGAGCTGTGAATGTGTATAAACACACACACACACACACACACACACACACACACACACACACCTTTGCCACCACAACACGAACACACACAACCACCTGTAGTGAAGGTAAAGTCCAGCACAGGGCATTAAACTGACTCCCCGGGGAGGGGCATATTATGTCAGCCAACAGGGAAGCAAAAACACGTAGGATCTGTCTGAGCCAGGCCAAGCCTCCCCCTCTCCTACTGAACAAGCTCCCAAGGCAGCCCACAGGCTCCTGTGGCATCCCTTGGACCCCAGTCAGGGCTATAGGACCAGTGGCTCAAAGCCCTGACACCACATTGCTTACGTGGCCGCTGAAGATGTCACCCAGTTGCCAGTGGAGAGGAGGCAGCCGCTCCTGACCCACCGGGTTCACCTTCTCCCCGCCCGCCTCCTGCTCCTGTCTGTGCATTCCCACCCGACTCCACCCCCATCCCAAGAAACCTACTTCTTTTTCCTGGAGACTTAGGGAAGCCCCTCAAGGCAAGTGCAGGAAGTCTGGGAGCCCCACCAGTAATTCTTAGCCCACTAGGCCGTCGGTTCAGTGCCAGGCCCAAGGATATGGTGCTGCTCCAGCAGTGCGAGGGTACCTGGGCCACCCCACGGGTGCCCGGGGTCCTCCAGAGCGGCACCCGGGCCATGCTCAGGTGCCCGTGTGGTAGCGGGAATCAAACCCACATCCGGCATGTGCCCTAACCACTGCGTTATCTCCTGGCTCCGAAACCAACTCCCTAAGTAGCAAAGCTGCAGAGAGCAGAGGGAAGGGCTGGAGCGAGTCCTGGAGGGCACCACATGGCTCCCTTCCTGTGGAGAGATTCCATGGCAGCTCACATGGTGCTGACCACACCTTGCTCCTCTGGGAACCAGGGCTGAGAATATGATGAACCACCTGCAGGTGGGGCATCCGTGAGACCCTGCGGGTCACAGACACAGACTGGCTTGCCCCACAGACTCACTGAGCCTATGAAGCTCCTCCCAGGTGTTCCCAGGGTCCCACCCAGCGGAGACCAGGCATGACTGCCCACGGTTCCCGCCCCAAAGGCCATGCCATATCGCTTGGTAGGTCCAGGGCTCTGCCCAGCCCACCCAGTACCTTGCTTTAGAACCCTCAAGGGCTCCTGTGTGCCATCGGGCATGTCCCCGAAGTGGAACTCGCGGAAGGGCAGCGGGTCCATGGATGCGTAGCGGCTCTTCTGCTCCAGCTCGAAGCCGCCGCTCTTCCCTTGCAGGAGGCAGAACTCTGTGATGCAGTGAGGATGCAGGTCAGTCAGCCCATTGCATCGGGACATCACCCCAAGCCCCCCAAACCCCTTCCATACATGCGCTGCTGCAGAACCCAAGTCCAGATGAGCTGTAACTCTTTATTTTTCTCAAGGTTTTATAGTATTTTTTTAATTGAATCACCATGAGATTTGCTCGAGCGGGCCCAGTCCCAGTAACGTCTCCATTGGAGACTTTGTTGTTACTGTGTCTGGCATATCGAATACTCTCGGTAGCTTGCCGGGCTCTCCGAGAGGGGCGGAGGAATCGAACTCAGGTCGGCCATGTTGGCCACTTGTAAGGCGAACGCCCTACCCGCTGTGCTATCGCTCCAGCCCAGTTACAGAGATACAGTTACAAAGTTGTTCATGATTGAGTTTCAGTCAATGTTCCAACTCCCATCATTTCACCAGTGTACATTTCCCATCACCAATGTCCCAAGTTTCCCTCCTGCCCGCCTCTCCCCCCCACACACACACACACTGCCTCTATGGCAGACACTTTCCCCTCTTTCTCTCTCTCTTTCTCTGTCTCTGTCTCTAACTCTGTCTTGTCTCTGTCTCTCTCTGTCTCTCTGTCTCTATCTCTGTCTTGTCTCTGTCTCTCTGTCTCTGTATCTCTGTCTCTGTGTCTGTCTCTGTCTTTGTCTCCTTCTGTCTCTCTGTCTCTGTCTCCTGTCTCTCTGTCTCTGTCTCTGTCTCTCTCTTTCCTTTTGGGCATTGTGGTTTGCAATACAAGTGCTTTTAAAATGTTATTATGTAGATCCCTTTACCTACTTCCAACTACTATAGTCATAGAGATCCCTTCCCTATCCTAAGAGCAGTGGCTCTCAACAGACAGGAAACCATCTCTCAGCGTCAAGAGCATCACCTGAGCCCTTGACACGGAACGCAAGACACACACAACTCAACCAAATCTGAATGTGATCTGTTCAACGTAACGGAACTGAGATTGAGTCATTGATACTTAAGTGGTTATCTGGTAAGATTGTGTTTTAAGAGCCCATACCCCAATAATAAAATACACAGCAATAAAAAAAGGAGCTATACATTTCTGTATTTGAATGAATGAATCTCACAAACACAGTCAGCGTGTAAAACAAGACATAACACGATATTTTCTCTCTGGATGACATAAAAGTAAAAAAGACCTTAAAAAAAAGACTTATCCTGGGGCCAGAGAGATAGTCTTGGGGAGACAGCACTTGCCTCCCACACAGCCAGCCTGAGTTTGTTCCCGACACCCCATATGGTTCCCCAAACCTCACCAGGAGTGATCCCTGAGCTCAAAGCCCTGAGCACCACCAGGGATGGTGGGTGGGGGGTCTGGTGGGAGACATCACTGGGTAGAGGGAGCACAGGTCTCACCCTCCAGAAGTTCGCACCAAAAAGGCAAAACTTGAAGTGGATAAAGCAATTCTGGGTAGTTGTGAGGGGATCTGGTGGTACTGAGGAAAGGGCTCTGGGGCAAGGGCATTTTCCTCGCCCCCGCTCCTCCCCCCATGGGACAAGGAGGGGTTGGGTCTCCCCTCCAAGTTTCAAAGGGCCAACAGGATCCTGACCAAGACACTGGCACCCCAAAAGTGGGAGATGAGGCGTCTCTGACAGCGCCCCCTGCCTGCAGGTCTGTGCTTCTGCAGCCTGATGAGAACACCCAGGGCTCCAGCAAGAGAAAACAGATCGGGGGAGAAGCGGAACTGGCCCGAGTACAGCCCCGAGTCACCGCAGAGGGCAGCCTGACCACCAAGAAGCAAAGGCAGCGCAGCGGGCAGCAGGCAGTAGGGGGCCGAGGCTGCCCGGGCCAGGCGGGATAGCAGCCCGGAGCCGCCTCCCGTCTCCCAGGGGCGCCTCCTCTGCAGCACAAAGAGGAGTTTATTTTCAGAGGCAGCCAGATAAAGGGCCTGGAATGGAAATGCAAATGGGCCAGCAGCTCGGGCCAGGCCGAGGCTTTCCCAGCCCTTCTGAAAAACGGGAGACCCGTGGGAGCAACAGCACCCCGACAACGCCTGGCCAAGCAGGCGCCAGCACCCCCCACACGCAGGAAGGGCACCAGCACGGACACCCCCGCCCTCCCCGTGCCACAGCGGGGCTGAGTGAGCAAAAGGCCTTGGAAAGGTCACACCTCCCCTGCCCGGCCCCCAGGACAGGCCACCAAAGTCTCAGGCAGGCCCTGAGCCCAGCTACCCCTGCCGGTGACAAAAACTGGACAACTCGATCTTTTAATGTGGCAAACAAGGAAGCCGCTACCAGTCCGAGGGTCGGAAGGCTGCACTCCGGACTGTCCCACGCCTGCCCCACCCTTGTCTGCTCTAGGACAGCGCCTCAAAACTTGCACTGTTGGGCTGGAGCGATAGTACAGCCAGGAGGGCGTTTGCCTTGCATGCGGCCCACCCGGATTTGATCCCCTGCATCCCATATGGTCCCGCCCCCCCCACCCCCAGCACTGCCAGGAGTAATTCCTGAATACAGAGGCAGGAGTAACCCCTGAGCATAACCAAAACGAACAAGCAAAATTAATCAAAATGGTTTAATTTAAAAAATAAATAAAACTGTCACCTCTGCCACCGCCACCATGGAACCCAGCTGCTGCACTGATACTGAGTCTCGGCTCTCTTCTGCCCACCTCACATGCCAGTATGGACCCTGAAGCTGGGCCCCAGGAGCCCTGAAAAGGGTGTGGGCACACTGAGTCCTGAAGACTTCCTCCCTCCACACCTGACCCTACCCTAACTGACTGAAAAGCTTCCAGGAAGCAGCGACGACAACCAACCCCTGTGTGTCTGTTCCACACCCTGGAAAACTCTGGAAATGGCAAACCACAGAGAACAGAGCAAGGCTGGGGGCACACTGGCAGAGTCAGCAGTTCATCCCCAGCACTGCAAGGTCCCCTGAGCCTTCCCAGGAGCACCATGCTAGAAGTAGCCCTAAGCACTGGTGGGTGTGTTCCAAACCCCAACCCAAGGAAAGAAAGAGGGGGCCAAAGAGATAGTATAGTGGTTAAGGCAGACCACATGGCAGAGCTGAGTTCCATCCCCAGCACCGCTACAGTCGCCCCAGCCCCGCCAGGAGTGATCCCTGAGCACAGAGCCAGGAGTCAGCCCTGAGCACCACCAATTGCAGCCCCCAAATAAGAAAATAAAAACCCTAACACACAGCCAGATTCAAGAATGTCAAGAATGGCTGGGATCCCACCATAACCCGGGCATATGCACTTTATTGTGCTTATAGACTTGAAGCAAACTGCAGGAATGTTTCATGGGTCAGGCTCAATATAAATCTGAAAAAACATAAGATGCCCCTTTTACAAACATGACATAACACCAGTACCACCCTGGAAAGGTGAGCACTAATGGATCCTGTTACAGTTATTCAATCACGTCCCCAAGAACCCACAAAATCCTTTTTCTGGGTTCCACATCTGCTCAAAAGAGCCATGATGGGGGTTGGGGGAGGTACACCCGAGAGCAGAAAAATGTAAGCCTTTCCTTTTCCCCAGAATGAACAACGGAGAGCCCCACTCTGCACTGGTGGGCTTCTAGGAGCAAGGTCAAGGTTAAGAATACCATCAAATGACATTAGCTTGGCCCTGGCAGGAGGGAGGTGGGAGAGGAGGAAGAGCAGCTAAGGTGGAGGGAGACATTTTGCTGGCATCATAAATAAGCACCTCGCCATCTCATCCCGTTCATCCTTCCCTCCTGCTCCCCCTTCCCAGGGGTGAGTCTAAGATTCAATCCAGAGCAACAGTAAAGCTGGGAAGGCGCTTGCCTTGCACTCGGTCGACCCGGGTTGGATCCCAGCATCCCATACGTTCCCCTGAGCCCTGCATGCAGAGCCAGGAGGAACCCCTGAGCATCGCCGGGTGTGGCCCCCAAACAACAAACAATTAATCCAACATCTTGAGCATGCGTGCACACGCCCTGGCGGCAGGCTTCGCACCCATCCACGCCCCTCCCTGCACCCTCCCCATCAGCATGCCCCCTGGGCTCAGCCCCGAATCCTGCGGAGGTTCTTGTCTCTCCATCCCCACTGCAGGATTGGGGGTCCCTGGTGCGCTCCAGGGAAAGCTGGGGTGTCTCAGCACTGGCTCAGAGCAGGAGGGGCACTCACCGAACTGCCCGTCCTGTTTCACATATAACTCAATGACGCCGTAGGCGATGGTGGCAGCAGCCGGGATCTCCAGCACCACGTTTGAGTCCTTGACCAAGTTGCCGTCCTCAGAGGCTGACACCTGTGAGCAGAACATGTGGCCACCTGCACACCCAGACACCCGTGTCTCTCTGCCTCCCCCTAGTGGCCAGTCTGGCGCCCTGCATGCCAGAGGGCCGGGGCACTGGGGAAGCGGAGGCCCCAGGAGCAGATTGGCAGAATGAAAAACTTGATTCATCCCTGTGGGCCTCATGATACTGGACACAGGAAAGGGCCAGCCTGATGGTGCAAAGGTAAGATTACAGAGTACGGGGACACCATGAAATTATGTCTGAATAAAGAAGATAATAAAGTGGCTTAGGAATCGAGCATCTTCTCTGCAACTGTGAGACCCTAGGCTGAATCCATGGCATCACAAAAAGCAGGAGGAAGAGGCCCAGATAATTTGCACAGGATCTTAGGATGCAGGTCTTGAAAGCATCTGGTCATAAGTTCAAATCCCCAGCACCCCACGTGAGCCTAACGCAGTGCCAGCAGCTCTGCTCTCTGCAATCCTCACCACTACAAACAGCTTCTGACACACCAGGTGAGCGTGAGCACTGAAAGGGGGTGAAATGCCCCACAGTGAGCACAACTGAAAACAAGCCCTACCCGGGGAACACCCCAACCATAACTTGAGTTGCCTTAACTCAAGCGGGAGGCCCCACCAGCATATGCATAAACACCATAACTAAAGATGTGTGCGCCTTCGTGAAGGCTTTGGCTGAGTGTATGAGCACCTCAACCTGATGTGTGACCCCCCTCCCCGCAAGCACCACTGCTAAAATTGTGCAGCTCCACAGTTGGATGGGTGTGGGATCCCAGCCCCGACAGCTACTAGGGCTCAGGGACCACAGAACGTTGCTGGGTGTAGCTCCAAAAGTAAAACAAAAAATAAACTTTTAAATCGTAATGATCACCCCACAGAGCTAGGAGTAAGCCCTGAGCTCTTCCAGGTGTGGCCCCAAACCCAAAACACACACACACACACACACACACACACACACACACACACACACCTTGAGCACAAAGGAGTGTTCAGCCAGAAAAGCCCAGCAAAATGATTAAAAGCTAGAGACGATATAAACAAGTGAACACACAGGATCCCTTCATTAATCACTAGGGAAAACACTTAAATTCTAATGATGGACTGGGAGAGGGGGAGGAGAAGGGAGTAAAAGGGAGTGGGGGCTGGAGAACAGCAGGTAGAACGTTTGCCTTACACATGACCAACCAGGGTTCGATCCCTGGCATCCCATATGGTCCTCCGAGCATTGCAGAGAGTGATTCCTGAGTCCAGAACCAGAAGGAAACCCTCAGCGTCATATAGCTCCAAAAATAAAATAAAAACTATCTTTTTAAATCCTAATGATCAGCCCACAGAACCAGGAGGAAGCCCTGAGCACTTCCAGGTGTGGCCCAAAACTCAAACACACACACACACACACACACACACACACACACACACACACTCAAACCTGAGCACAAAAGTGTGTCCAGCTGGGAAAGCCCAGCACAATCTGACCTCAAGGACCCCCAGCCACAACACCCCCCCCCAGGTAGCAGCAGGACAAAGGAGCCTGGAGCCATCAGCCCACCTGAAGAAACTTGAGAGCAATGACCAAGCCCCAGAACCAGAACTGGACCCTGGATCCCCAGATCCAGCAGGGATGTAAGTCTAATGAGTCAACAGTCCCTTGCCAATTGTGCAGATGTTGGGTGGATTTCTGATCACTTGCTACATAAAGTGCCCTGAAGACACCCAACAATCAAAGAAGTCCCTGTTCTGATGGCCTGTAACCCTGATCCTGCTTATATCTCTGCCCGTATCCCCCTGAACTCCAGTGGCCCATGACCCCTAGCCCTAGCCCTACATGTTATCCCTGGCCTAACATGTGACTCCTGGCGCCACATGTAACCCTGACCGTTGGTGGCCTATGAACCCTGGATCTGCCTGTGATCCCATAAATGTGACCCCCAGTCCTACCTGTGACCCTGACCTCTGGTGACCTCTGGCCCATCTGTGACCCCTGACCCCTGACCTCCCAGAAGCACACCTGCAGAGTCTTGGTCTGTATCCCCACCATGCCACCACAGCGCTCTTCAATCTGTACGTGCTCCGAGATCACACATTTCTGCGTTGTCATGATCTTCTGAGTCAGGACACACAGCACCTCCTCGGGCCTCTCCAGCACCTGCTGCAAAACGGGGTTTTTCAGGTTTATTGTCCTGCAAGAGAAAAGTGGCCGTGAGTGGCCCAGTGCTCAGTCAGGGACAGCCTCCATTTGCCTCTGTCATGCTGATAGCTGAGAGGTAGGCAGGTGACCACTAGTGGTGAATGACAGAAGGGCGGATCCTTGAAAGAGATCAGAACCCAGATCCACATGGCCACTGGGAAAAGGCTGGAGTTGTGGGGGGCGGGGGGAAGGGCTACCCCCCAAATCAGAGTGGAATACAAAGAATCATTGTAGGGGTATAACAAACGCGCAAAGGCAACACAAACTGAGAACAGATCTTCAGTAGGAATCTCGGGGTAGGGTGGGGTGGGGTCACTGGGACAATGGTGGAGGAGGCGACAGTCTGGTGGAGGGGGTGGAACACTGTACGCAGAAACCCTGCCATTAACAGGTTTATAAATCACAGTATCTAAAACAAAATTTAAAACAATTTTAAGTATAAGGTGCCTGACCAATAGTATAGCAGGTGGGGGCACCGGGGGTGGGGTGGGCACTTGCCTTACATGAGACAAACAAACCAAAAAAAAAAATTTTTTTTTTGGCTTTTTGGGTCACACCCAGCAATGCTCAGAGGTTACTCCTGGCTCTGCACTCAGGAATTACTCCTGGCAGTGCTTGGGGGACCATATGGGATGCTGGGAATCGAACCCGGGTTGGCTGCGTACAAGGTAAAATGCCCTACCCACTGTGCTATCGCTCCAGCCCCCACAAATAAAAATCTTTAAGTATAGAATCTGAACTTCCTGGGCCAGGGGCTGAGGAGAGGTCTGTAAGGGCTAGAGCACAGCTCCCAGGTGGAAGGTCCTAATTCGACCTGTACCTTCTCCTGATCACCGGAGTACTGCTGGGAGCCAGGGAGAAGCCGCCAGGCAACTCTGAGTAGGGCCCAAACCCTAACGCTGAGGCTGGAGAGGGCTGAAGGGCTGGAGGCCTCGGTTCAGTCCCGGGCTCTGTTTGGTCTCCTGAGGACCACTGGGAGCGACCCCTGAGCACATGAGCCTAAGTACTTTGTGAATCCCAGGCCCCCAAAATAAGATTCCTGGGACACAGGGAATTGGGGAGGGAGCCAAGGCCAGTGGCAGCTCTGCTGTTGAGGGTCCCAGGAGCCACAAGAAAATGAGTGATGGCGTGCCAGCAGGTGTGTGCACCCCCAGAGCAATGCCTCTGGGAGGGTGACAGCACCAGAGCCTAGTGTGTGAGCCCCAGTCACCCCAGAAACACCAGCACCCGCAAAAAGGGGAGTATTACAAAACTAAACACCCCCGTTCTTTGAGAGCACTGCCACTCATCCTCAGGCCCACACACACAAAGCACGGGGCAGAGGGAGCCCAGGGATGGGATTTCCTTCTGGACCGGGTCCAGGCGCCCCTGAGCCCTCAGAAGGCGCCGGTTCCATCCCTGTCACCACAGAGAGCAGCCCCTGAGCACTGCAAGGTGCAGTTCCAAAACAAAATAGGGAGCCCCATCCCCGGCGGTCCTCGTAGATGCGGACTTGCTCCTCCGTGGGCAGGACCAAAGCTCACCGCTCCTGTTGCGGTTGCAGTGGTCAGAGCTGCACAGAGGAAACCGTGTTTGCAGATCAGCTGCGGAGCAGGCTGCGCTGGGGTCAGGCACGGAGCTGGCTTTGCTCTGTCGATGCCCGACCCCATGGCAATGGCTGCTTCTCCTCAGGGGCCAACTTCCGCCCACCCAGACCAAGTTCAAGGTCAGGTCTGCCTCCCAAAGTCCCGGGTGTCTGCCCCTAACTGCCTTCACTCCTCCTGGGGGACATGGCTTTTGCCCATTAAAGTTCACAATTCTCTGAGAGGCGGGTGGGGGGAGGTCAGCAGCCCCCCAATGTACCCCCCTGCCAGTTCTCCCTGGACCAGTGCTGCCTGAAAGAAGCTCTCTGTGCCTGAGGGCCCAGAGTGTGGAGCCCAACAGCATGAACCCCCCACTCTGCTAATGTCGGGCAGCATTCCTCCCAGAAATCTGCTTGTATATGAGTCCCTCAGCCAACCTTGGCTCTGCTTGGTCCTTTTGCAGGGTCTGGGGTGGGCTGGGGTACCTGGAGCAATTGTGGCCAGTGGGACCGGGGTGTTGCCTGTCCGAGGGGTTCCAGGAAGACTTTCCTCCCTCTTAGAGAGGCACCAGGAAGAGGGCATTTTTCTGCCCCACAAAAACTTGGAGACAAAGCAATCTTGGAGGCACCAGCACCTGGCAACCAGCAATGCCTGGGAGCTGCCACAGTGGGGTGCCACGGGGCCAGGGATGAGCCCTGCTCGAGTCAGTCTGGTGACACGTGACACATCCTGCCTTGGGCTGTGCCCTGATGAGGAAGAGCAGATGTTGTTGCAGCTGCTGTGGTGCTGCCCACGGGGCCCCTCCACTGTGTTGCTCACATACACCTGGCTTGGTGCGACCTGAGTCTGGCATGGCAGCAGAGCCACCGGTTATGCGCAGGAAACAACCAGGAGAGAACTCGCTGCCAACACGAGGAAGGAGGGCACTTGGTCCACTGAGCCTGCTCCAGACCCTCCAGCGAGACTGTTCCAAAGGGGCTGGGGGGAGACAGCACAAGGCGCTCAGCAGAAACTCTGCATGTGGAAGACCCAGTTTGAGTCCCCGGCACCACAGGGTTCCCCAGCAGGGTTGTGAAGGACACCACGATTCTGAACACAAAGCAAGTGCACTGCCAGGAGGGCCCAAAACCCAACACACACACACACACACACACACACATGCACACACGCACATGCATACACACATACACATGCATGCACACACATGTGCACACACATGCACACGCACACACACACATGCACACACAGTACTTTAAGATAAACACAGAGCTTTCTTTCAAAGGGGTCAGCTCCAGGGGCTGGAGCAATAGCACAGTGGGTAGGGCGTTTGCCTTGCACACAGCAGACCCGGATTCAATTCCCAGCATCCCATATGGTCCATTGAGCATGGCCAGGAGTAATTTCTGAGAGCATGAGACAAGAGTAACCCCTGTGCATCGCCGGGTATGACCCAAAAAAGAAAAAGAAAACAAAAAACCAAAAAACAAAAGGGGTCAGCTTCAGTTGTCTGGAAGAATCCCAAGGCAATGCCTTTGTGCCTGCCTCTGACGTATCAGGGGCACATACACGTCAGTCTTCCTGGTTAAGGACAAAACTGCTCACTCTGGTGATCTATATACTTCTGGCAGTAATACTGGATCAATGGGGCCAGAGAGACCGCACTGCAGGCAAGGTGGTTACTTGCCTTGCATGCAGCCAACCTGCGTTCGATCCCTTACATCACATAGTGTTCCCTGAGTCCCACCAGGCGTGACCCCTGCACACAGAGCCAGGAGTAAACCCTGAGAATAGCTAACTGGATGTGGCCCAAAAGAGCTAGCAAGATGGTTTGTGAGGGCGACAACCTGGGTGCTGATGACACAGTATCTAAATGACCCGAAATAAAATGAGGGTGAGTCGGATGAGAACGGGTACTAAGAATTCCTCACCACCCTCCTGGGCCACACATGGCGATTAGTACCTTATCAGCAGACAGGTCCTGGGCGTGGGTGACGAAAGGGTTTATGACTCTGAGTGGAGCAGTGCAACCCAGAAGCCCTACTCTGGGACTCCCCTTTAGCACTTCGCGATGGAGCGGCCAGAGCAGGGACTCTGCGGGGACTGTGCAGGGATGCTCTTCCACGTGCAGGCGTGGACTGGCTCCTCACTGAGCTCCCAGTATCCCCTCCAGCCCTTCCTCATCACCTCCAAAGACTCCCGAGAAAAACCTCTTCCTGCGGGCTGGCTTGGAAAGGCAGCTGGTTCTCTGGACAGCCCCCAGAGTGGTCACATTCCCACTTCCACAGGTTCACCCTGTGCTCTGCTTTTAATTTCCTTGACCTTTGCTTCACAGTCATGTAAACATGAGCTAGAGGCAACTTTGCAGCTGAAAAGTCCTGGATTGAATCCCAGCCCCAATCCTTGAATTGACAGGGCTGAGAGCATGTTCCCTCCCCCACCCCCCACCAAGGCTCAGACCATATGAATGAAAACAGCAGAGCAATGAAATGTGGATTTTATAAAGTGTGGGGCATCCATGTCCCTCACCCCTTTCTCTGGACCGCTGCCGGTGACTGCTTGGCCGGGCTCCCTTTCCCGCATAGAGCGTCTTCTCCTCACTGACAAGCCCCCACCTCACCAACACACACATACACACACACACACACACACACACACACACACACACACACACACACCAACAGACTGCATGCTGGCACCATCTCCCACACCTGACTCGGGAAGAGAGTGAAAAGCCTCAGCGGCAAGTGTGATTACAGAGCACTGCCAAACAGCATCTCTGGAGACAAAAATAACAGGAAGGCAACAGAGAGATGAGTCCAGGGCACTTTCTGAGACCATGAAAGGCTTCAACACCCCCCCCCCCACCACCACCAACCCGCCCAGTCCCCCATTTCTTCTCCCTTCCTTGCAGACTTAACAAATAAAAATCGCAGGGACCCCAGGTAAATGCCTCCCTGTGAAGCAAAGGTGAGTACAGCCAGGAAGCTGAGCAGGAGAGACAGGGCTACCCACCGTGAGGTCCCAGGCGGGCACCGTCCCATCTTCCAGAGCCTTGGGACAGGTGGGGCTGCAGGCTGAGGTTCCTGTTGCCTTTGTCCTAAACTAGCACTGCTGGGGGGTTCTGGAAACACCAGAAGAGTGGGGAGGAACCAATCCTGGAGCAGTGTCCAACTGCATCAAAGCAGAAGGGCCTGAGAGGTGAGTGGATTTTAAAGACTCTAAGCGGGGCTAGAGCGATAGCACAGCAGGTAGGGCAGTTGCCTTGCACACGGCTGACCCGGGTTTGATTCCCAGCATCCCATATGATCCCCCGAGCACCGCCAGGAGTGATTCCTGAGTGCAGAGCCAAGAGTATCCCCTGAGCATTACTGGGTGTGACTCCAAAAGCAAAAAAATTTAAAAAATAATAAAGACTCCGGGTACCTAAGCACCCTCAATGCCTGAACAAAATCTGCAAGCCAGATGGTTGACTTATGAGGGCTTGGGCCACACCCAGCTGTGCTCAGGGCTTACTCCTGACTCTGTGCTCAGGGGTCACTCCTGGTGGGGTTCAGGGGGACAACAGACAGTGCTGGGTATTAAATTGGGGTGGGCCATACACATGCAAGCACCTTAACCACGGAACTCTCTGCCCTGACATCAGAATTTTATGTGGCATTTTCTTACTCATGATTTTTTTTTAAAAAACCATAATTGCGCCAAAGAATTTTATAATTCGTCTAATCTAAAGCATTGCGGAAATGGAGATTAGCCACCCATCTTTAAATAGAAGTTAAAGCTTTCTCAATTTGGAGTTTCATTTCCTTTTGAGAAAAAAAATGGTGGTGGAAATGCATGTGAGAACATACATATGTTGCCATTCCAAATGAAATGTCACTGTGTGTTAGGACCATGAAACAGCCTTTCACTAGAACCCCTGCTTCCACCAGTCTCCATCAACCCACTAGCCAAGATGATCCACCTGGTACAAGGTAGAGACCAGAGAGGATACTTGAGCCAAGAAAAATTATACCTATATAATATACACCATTTATATTATATTATATATATTACATATACACCATATATATTACACCATACACCATACACCATATATATTACACATACATACATACATATGTACATATGTACATACATATGTACATATGTACATATGTTGGGAACTAGATAGACAAAGTAGACAGAATGGATGATAGTTCAAGGGCCCTTTATTTTTTTTTAGTTAATTTTTTATTGAATCATGGTTTCTTTAAATCCAGATTTAAAATCCAGAATAAAAACCCTGAGGTGGATGCTGCTCAGGTAGTGGGGGGAAGAAGAAGCCTGTTACTGCTCTATCTCTGCTTCCTTTCCTGGAAAAAAAATCTCCCCTTGAGAAAGCCCAGAGTCATACCCACAAACCACCTCTGATGCCAGTCATGTAAGCTCCAGAGAATCATAAATAAATCTTGAAAGAGATCCACAAGCCATAAAAAAATTTCTCCAGACCCCCACCTAAGGCTGAGACATCAGGGGCACCCCTGAGGGGGAAAGTGAGCCGAGTTCCTGCCAAAACAGAGCCTCAGCAACCACTTGCTTCCATACTCCAAATTCAGCGCCATGCTCCTTGAGAAAGCCCGTCAGGAAGATGTTCATCCCCACATGCTAAGGTCCTCCGATGTATAAAAGTCTAGCCTGGGTAGATTAAGAGAGCAAGCCCCTTCACCGAAGAACGTTTCTCTTCTCCTTCTGATGACTACTGGTTCTAAGCAATAAATACTGTACATGGAGGAGAGTCGAGGCTCTCAGTCCAAGAGGCTGTGAGATCCCTGGGCTCATGCTTTTGCTCTGCTATTTCTGTCTCTTCTCTTAACTCTCGTGGCGTTCCTGCTTCAGATTGTTCACCAACGGCTGGTCCCCGGCATACATACACATATAAGATACAATCAAAATAAGACCTGGGACTGGAGCAATAGCACAGAGGGTAGAGCATTTGCCGTGCACGCAGCCGACCCGGCATTCGATTCCCAGCATCCCATATGGTCCCCCGAGCACTGCCAAGAGTAATTCCTGAGTGCAGAACCAGGAGTAACCCCTGTGCATCACCAGGTGTGACCCAAAAAGCAATAAATAAATAAATAAAATAATAAGACCTGTCAAGTCATGCAACATCCCTACCAAAGTCTCAGGCAGTGTCCCTCTCATCCATGTAAGTCTTCCCCAGTGGCCAGCAAGGCTGCCACCTGGTCCTGATGCCCAGCTCCAGCCACACAGCTCTGCCCATATCAGGCTTGCCCAGCCCTCCGTGCCCAGGCCTTGTCCAACTTAAAGTCTATGCTAGTTTCCCAGGGTGCCTTCTCCAGTCTCTGCTTCAAGACCGAGCCCCTCCCTAGCAAGTTCCTCACCCCCTCTCCCCTCCTGGCTGTATTTTCCTCCAAACCACCAGGGTCTCTCAATCTGCTCTATTTTCCAACTTAGTTGCACATGAAATGTGCCCTGGCCCTGGCTGAGACAGTTAGGGTAGAAATGCCGGCATGATGTGCAGGCAGCATCTCTGACACATAAAACAGTGTATCAGAGGCACTTAACCCAATTATTGACTGAATGCTGAATACACATAAGATAAAATGATGAGTCACACTGGGGTCAAGGTACTTATTGAAAGGTAAACAATGAGTAAGTGTGAGTTTTCCTTCAAGTCTTCAAAGTTGAGAGCCCAGAGACTGTACAGGGGCTTAAAGCACCTACCTACAAGTATATGGTCATGGGTTCAAATCCCTGGAGTCCCATATGTGCTGAAAAAGGTCTTGGCAGCACTGCTGACTGACACCAAGTGACTTCTGGTCACCACTCAGCGTGCTTGTGAGCATCCCCAAAAGGAATGCCATCCTCCACCAGCACCATAACTAAAATGAAGCATGCAAGCACCATGGTCAGGAAGTGTGGTTCCTGGTGAACAAGTGTAGGAGCATAGCAGTGACCCCCAATGGGTTCCACAACTATCACTTGTGAAGCTCAAATAAGAGTGCAGCCCCCAACAAACACCACAACTAAAATTCAGCACATCATGTGTGCCCCCAGCCACAGGGAGGAGTGGAGGGGGGGGGGATCAAAAGTCCTCAGAGAGTGGGAATGATAGTACAGCAGGTAGGGCATTTGTCTTGCACGCAGCCTAGCCATGTTCGATCTCTGGCAACCTGTATGCCTCAGCCCAACCAAGGCCTGATTTCTGAGTGCAGAGCCAAGAGCACTGCTGAGTGTATCCCCAAAACCAAACAAACAAAAAATCATGGTTTAAAAAATGTCATCAAAGTTGAAAGGCAGCCTTTCCCCAGGACACCCTCCCACTCTTTCTTCTTTTCCTCATCAGAAAATTAAAATGCCCCAGAAGGGCTGCAATTTTCCAACTTTAGACAGTGACATTCAAAACTATGAGACCTTGGAGCAGAAATGATAGCACCATGGGGAGGGTACTTGGGTTCAATTCCCGGTACCTCATATGGTCCCCAGAGTGGTCCCTGAGCACAGAGCCAGGAGTAAGCCCTCAGCACCACCAGGTATGGCCCAAATAGAAACAAACAAACAAACAAAACCTTGGGGATGAGCATTTTTCCTACTGGCATTTTTTTTTAAATTGTTATGACTAAAGGAAAAAAAATTAAGTACCTATTTGCCTAAATCATCTCCTTTCAAAGTTCATTCTCAGTCTTTCCCCTGAGGCTAAAAACAGTTAAGAAAATGCAGAAAAGGGGAACAGAGTGATAATACTGCAGATAGGGCATTTGCCTTGTACATGGCCAAGCCAAGTTTGATCCCCAGCGTCCCATATAGTCCCCTAAGCACTACCGGGAATAACCCCTGAGCACTGCCGGACGTGGCCCAAAAAACAAAACTAAAGGAAAATGCAGAGAAAAAGAGAGCCTCTCCTGAATCTCAGCCCAGCCAGCCTCTGTGATCAGCCCAGCTCCAACCTTGCTGTGCGGGTCATGTCAAGATCCAAAGAGCCAAACAACCTCCTTACCTGTCCACGGCCTCCCGGATGAGCTGCTGCAAGTCCACCTCCTGCTTCCTGAGGGTCCCGAACGAAGACTGACTTTCCACCAGGCCTTTGCCGCCCACGTTCAGCTTCACTCTCCCCAGGGCCGTCTCAATGGACCCGCTCACGTGGTTCTCAAACTTGCCTTCATACTTCACAAAGTCCGACTCCACGACCACTGAAACAGGGAGGCAGAGCTGGGCATCAGAGGCCTCTGTCCCCAGACCACCCCTGGGAAACGGGAGGCTAGAACTCGGAACGAGGGGCTGACATCCATGGGTGGGGGATAAAGAAAATATCCCCAGCACCCCCCAGATGCTGACAGGTGCACAGTCTATACATGAAGCACTACTATTTGTGCATGCATGCATGTGTGGAAGCACCAGAAAGCATTTATAGAGTCCAACAGATCAATTCAAAGCCAAACATCTATCTAATCACTCTCAGAGAGAAAAGCAGAATATTTTTTTTGGATGTGGGGAGGGTGAGGAGGTAAGTTGGGACCACAGCTGGCAGTGCTCATGGCTTACTTCTGGCTCTGTTCTCAGGGATCACTCCCAGCGGAACTTATGGAAACTCTCTGCGTGTCAGACATTGAGTCGGCTGCACGCAAGGCAGGCAAGCACCTTGCCCCCCATAGCAATCTCTCTAGCCCAGAAGCAGAATCATTCTGAGATCACATTTTTTTCCAAGGGAAAGACTGGAAAAGGACAAGATGTGGCTGACCCTAAGTAGAGAGAGGCATGGGCAGCCTGCCGCATCCCCCGCCACCACCACCCCAGACTGGTTAAAGACAGCCTCACTCAGCATCTGACAGATGGGCCACCTGGACTCTCCTCAAACATCTTCCCTCCACCCAAAAGGAGAGAGAGAGAGAGAGAGAGAGAGAGAGAGAGAGAGAGAGAGAGAGAGAGAGAGAGAATATGCCTGCCACAGAGGCAGGAGGTGGGAAAGGGTGAGGGTGGCAGGGGGGGATACTGGGAACATTGGTGGTGGATAATGGGCACTGGTGGAGGGATGGGTGCTCAATCATTATATGACCAAAACATAATCATGAAAGTTTGTAAGTCTGTAACTGTATATCACAGGTGATTCAATAAAAAATAAAATAAAATAAAATTTAAAAATAAATAAATAAAAACATCTTCCCTTCTCTTCACTAGTCTGGGAGAACATTCCCTAAGCCTCAGTCATTCCCACCTCCATACATACAGCTAAGTCTCTTCCCCAGCTTCTATTTGACCTCTATCCTGCCTCCAATTCCTTATCATGCAATCCCTTATCTCTGCACCCCCCCACCCCTCTGGTATAAGCTGCAGCATGCCCTCCTCCCTGCCCAGAGCACACCAGCTGGCATTCTTGGTGGATCAGTACTCAGAAAGCTGCCCCACCTGCCTGGTGGACCCATTTAGATCAGGTCCTATAAGAGGTGCCATGCTGTCATCACCTGTGCCTATCTAGATGGTGGCTATCAGATGGTCTTTAGATCTGCCCTTTGGATCTGAACACTAAAGATAAAGGATGATGACCTCTCCCTCCAGCTACCGCCTCTCCTAGCTCCAGATGCCTGCTGCTGTTCTTTTCAATGGACCCAGATACCAAGCACAGAAAGAGTGCAGCTCATCATCATTATGGAGGCAGTACTGAGAGTCTCTCGGTAACTTCAACAGGGCACTTCCCAGTTTCCTGACCCAAGGTTCTCCTGAACTCCTGGTGGTATTACATGAGACTAAAACCCACCTGCAGCTTGAAAGACTCTCTCTTTCCAGCTTCACTCCTGCCCCAAAAAAAGCATTTTCCAATGGGGCTGAATGAAAATTCATCACTCATGAGCTTTGCAATGTACAAAGCAGGGAATCATCTTAACCACCAACCACCACTACCACCACAAAAAAGGAAATACTGGGCCAGAGGAACAGCAAAGACGCTAAGATGCTTGCCTTGCACAAGACTGACCCAGTTCAACCCCCAGCATAGTTCTACAAACACCAACAGGAGGGATCCCTGAGCACAGAGCCAGGAGTAAGCCCTAAGCACAGCCGAATGTAGCCCCCAAACCGAACAAACAAAAGAATAAATAAAGGGCTGTGAAAACATCCCCATCCCCAATTGAGTGCCTTTTCCTACTCCATTTTGTGGAACGCAATCACTTCTGGAAATACAAGAAGTAGGAGAGAGCTCAAGATTTCACTGCTAGTATGATATTCCTAGTAGGAAGAGCTTCACTCATCTCCCTAAACCTCGAATTTGTCATCTTTAACCTGGAGATCATTAATACTATCAACCTGATGGATTTTGCTGAAAGCTGTTGTGTGTATCTGCTACCAAGCCTGGCATTCAGCTAATGTTTCATCTATCCTTTGTGTTGGGGGCAGAACAATTTCACTTTCTGAGAACCAAGATCATTTGAGGTTCATCAAAAAGCTACACAGGCAGAAATTCCATTTTATGAAGAAGTTTCAGTCTCAGTTCAACAGGATACAGGACTGGGGTCCAGCTCTGGCCATTGTAGTCACTTGCCATGAGGAGTAGTGGCCTTCTGGAACATCACAGACAGGAAGAGGTTAGCACAGCCACCAAAGTTGTTACTTGACGGGCTCAGGACCCCACTCATTGCCCCTGCTCAGGTTCATATTGTTGTCATTTCACAACTCAATAGATGTTTTACCAAAAAGTCTAACTCCAGCGGGAAGAAATCACATATAATTAATTTCAACTCATTGACCCAGGGCTTGGATGATCTGAACAAAAAGCCTGGCTGATGATCTACTGGCTAGAAATCTGATCTGGAAGAAAGCCCAAATCTTATGTTAGTTTATTGATCTCTAGATACTTTCCCATTGAATAGAGATATTTTCATAAAATTAGGGCCTTTAAAGATGAAAGATTTGGACATCATTTTTCACAAATGATTAAGAGCTGATATGTTCATATACTGCCACTTCCTCAAAGCAGTGCAGTCATAAGTGTCAAAAATCTCCAAGAAGTTCTCAATTTCTAGTCCAATTATTCTCTCCAAGAATTTGTGCTAAAGCAATTGCTTAAAGAAAAAACAACAACAAAAATCCAAACAAAAGTGTTCCTTCCAACCTTATTCACTAAGCACAAATGAAAATTATGGAGCAAATTATGGTGCACATACACAAAAGAGGTTTGTGTGTGCTTGTCAACAGCTGTTAAAAATACTTAAACCTTAAAAACATAAGGTTAAATAAAAATGAAAAGGAATCTTTAAAACTTATATGTATTATGTTTCTAATTTTGTTTTAAACAAAATGAGAGAAAAACACTACAATCTAAGTACTAATAGGATTTAATACTAAGTAAAATCTTTGACAATTTGTTTTCCTCCTTATTCCTTTGTATATTTTAGAAATTCTTTACTAGAATAGTGAATCTGAATCCACTGAGGAGAGTGGGGGTTGGGGCACACCTGCTGGTACTCCTGGCTCTGAGCTCAAAAGTGATCCCTGGCAGCACTTAGGAAACTATATCTGGTGCCAGGGATTGAACCAATGTTGGTGGGATGCTAGACAAGTGCCTTAAGCCCTCTGTACTATCTCTCCAGGCCCTGAATTTTTTTTTAACATGGAGGAACTATGACAAGAAGTGCTCTGGGGACTTAGAAGCCATTTCTGATAATATCAAGCCTGGCTATGTGGGCCTGATGTTCAATCCTTGGACCCAGTGATCATTGAGTGATGCTGGGCAGGGAGGCATACAGTACTGGGGAAGGAACACCAGGCCTCACATATGAAATATGTGCTGGCATCCTTTGTGTCCTCTATTAGGGCCCAATACCCGTCCCTCAGCCCCCATCTCTTTTTGCTTGCCCCCCTCTTGCTCATGGGCTCTGGTCTCTGCAGGAGAAGGCCATGAACAATGGGGAGAGGTGGACAGAGGGAGAAACCTGCAGTGTTGGTATGGAAACCCTGTGTTCTCAGTGGTTGGTACTGGGTCTTAGTTTCTATCTGGCAGGGCATGGGCTGGATAGGCAGGTATGGAGCTCCCCACAAGACAAAGAAACTCTTTTTTCGCTGTTGTTTATTTGGGGGCCACACCCAGAAAAGCTCAGGGGTTACGCCTGGCTCTGTACTTAGGAATTAGTCCCAGCAGCGCTCAAGCGAGTATATGAGATGCCAGGGACTGAACACGGGTTGGCTGGGTGCAAAGTAACTACCCTATCTTTCTGGCTCTCCGATTCCCCTTTCGATGTTTGCTGACAGCTGTCTAGGCCGTCACACCTCCTTCACACTACGCTGTCATCCACTGGCACCATCAAGTCCCACAAGTTCCAGCCCACAGGCAGATTTCTCACCCCACCCCACATCCTAATCAAAAAAGTTAGACCCGTCTCTTCCGTTCCCTTCTCTCTGGCTCTGTAAGCCAGCTTGGCAGCTTGCCCTGGTCTCCCTCCAGAGACTCCGAATATGGGCAATAAGTTTTGCACATCCTCAGGATGAAAACCAGGCATCACCAACCCAAATTTTGGACAGCAGATCCATCCTATGGATTGGATCCAAATTTTGGATCAGCAATTTCTTCAACAGGTATATTGTTTTATACTTCTATACAATATCATTTTTCCACACCTGCAATATCATTATTTCACACTGCAGAATTTTACTCATTTTAAAAAAGGATACTTTTTTATGGCTATTGGCAAAGAAATAATCTTCATCATAAGGAATCACCTTAAAAAAATCACTCTACGCCCTCTCCTCTCTGGAAAGAAAGATGGCGGCCGCATGGGAGCCTTGTGGACAGCAGGTATGAGCCAGGGGTCGGGGGCGACAAAAACCTCATGGGAAAGGGGACATTCCGGCCCGTCCTTCACACCCTACCGAGGTCACCAGTTGCCCCCCACGAGCAACTCTCCAGCACAGCCACGACTCCAGAGCACAGAAACCAATCTCTTAATTATCTGACTTTTAGTAGAAATACTTCCAGGGTTAATAAGTAAAATAGCAGAAATCCAAAACTGCGCAGCCGCGACAACATTTAATTCTTGAACCCAGCTATAGAAAGCAAATCATTTCACAACACTTTTTCAGCATGTCTGATTGGGGGGGGGGGGGGTAAACTCTAAATAATAATGGTGCATCTTTTATTGAAACAATGAATCTAGTCAAAGTAGATAAGAGTGTTAACTAGAACTCATCTGCCTCACAGGATTTGGGAGGGGTGGGAGGTGGGGTTCTATTGCGGTTCGTGGTAAAAAATAAGTATCGGTAAAGGGAAATGTGTTTGATATTTACATGACTGAGACCTAAACCTGAAAGCTCTGTAACTTTTCCCACAGTGATTCAATATATAAATAAATTATAAAAAATAAATAAATAAACAAAATGTGCTCAAAACTCTAAAAAAAAATCACTCTAGAGATTGCCCGGCTAACTCAATCAGTAGAGCATGACACTCTTAATCTCAGAGTCATGGGTTCAAGACCACATTGGGCATCGTTTTGGGCCTCACAAAATTTATCACTTTCAAAAATAACCCACCATCTTTTTGGGGGTCGGAGTGATAGTACAACAGGTAGGGTGTTTGCCTTGCACACAACAAACCTGGGTTCAATCCCCAGTATCCCATATGGTCCCTCAAGCACTGCCAGGAATAATTCTTGAGTGCAGAGCCAGGAGTAACCCTTGAACATTGCTGGGTGTCACTCCCCCCAAAAAATTTTAAAGCAATCTGGAAAAATTATATCTAAAAAGAAGTCTTCTGTTCTAGAAACCAAAGAAATTCAAAAGATCATCAGAGACTACTTTGAAGGTCTGTATGCCACAAAACAAGAGAACCTAGAAGAAATGGACAAATTCCTGGATTCCTATAATCTCCCAAGGCTGAATCAAGAAGATATAGAGTACCTGAATAGACCTATTAACATCAAGGAAATTGAAGCTGTAATCAAAAGTCTTCCCAAAAACAAAAGCGCAGGTCCAGATGGATTCACTGGCGAATTTTTCCAAACATTTAAAGAGGACATAGTCCCAGTTCTTCCCAAACTTTTCCAGGAAATTGAAGAAACGGAAACTCTCCCAAATAGTTTCTATGAAGTCCATATCTCTCTAATACCAAAAGGAAACAAAGATACCACAAGAAAAGAAAACTACAGGCCTATATCACTGATGAACACAGACACGAAGATCCTCAACAAAATACTAGCAAATAGAATTCAACAACTCATCAAAAAGATCATACACCATGACCAAGTGGGATTAATCCCGGGAATGCAAGGATGGTTTAACATTCAGAAATCAATCAACATAATCCATCATATCAACAAAAGAAAAGATAAAAACCATATGATCATATCACTAGATACAGAGAAAGCATTTGACAAGATCAAGCACCCATTTATGATGAAAACCCTCACCAAAATGGGGATGGAGGGGACTTTCCTCAACATAGTTAAAGTCATCTACCACAAGCCTACAGCAAGCATCATCCTCAATGGGGGAATTCCCCCTAAGATAAGGGACGAGACAAGGATGCCCACGCTCTCCACTGCTGTTCAGTATAGTACTGGCAGTACTTTCAATAGCGATTAGGCAGGAAATAGATATTAAGAACATCCAGGTAGGAAAGGAAGAAATCAAGCTCTCACTATTTGCAGATGATATGATACTATACTTAGAGAACCCTAAAACCTCTACCAAGAAACTCTTAGAAACAATAGACTTGTATAATAAAGTTGCAGGCTATAAAATCAATACCCAAAAGTCCATGGCTTTCCTATACGCAAATAGTGAGAGAGAAGAAAGTGACATGAAAAAAACAATGCCACTCACAATTGTGCCCATAAAATCAAGTACCTAGGAATCAGCTTAACTAAGGAAGTAAAAGATCTGAACAAAGAAACTACAAAACGCTTCTCCAGGAAATAAAAGAGGACACGAGGAAATGGAAAGATATCCCCTGCTCATGGATTGGGAGAATTAACATTGTCAAAATGACAATACTTCCCAAAGCATTGTACAAATTCAATGCGATCCCTATAACGATACCCATGACATTCTTCAAAGAAATGAAGCAAACACTCCTGAAATTCATATGGAACAATAAGCACCCACGAATAGCTAAAGCAATTCTTGGAAAAAGAAAATGGGAGGAATCAACCTCCCTAACTTCAAAATGTACTACAAAGCAGTAATAATTAAAACAGCATGGTACTGGAACAAAGGCAGAGCTGCAGACCAATGGACAGGGTTGAATATACTGACATCTCCCCCCAAGCATATGATCATCTAATCTTTGATAAGGGGGCAAGAAATGTGAAATGGAGCAAGGAAAGCCTCTTTAACAAATTGTGCTGGCAAAACTGGACAGCTACATGCAAAAAAAAATGGGCTCAGATCTCTCCCTAACACCATGTACAAAAATAAGATCAAAATGGATTAAAGATCTCAACATCAGACTGGAATCCATAAGGTACATTGAAGACAAACTTGGCAAAACCCTCCATGATATTGAAGCTAATGGTATTTTCGAAGATGTCACACCACTGGTCAAGCAAGTGAAAACAGCAAGTGAAAACAAATGGGACTATCTTAAAACTAAGAAGCTTCTGCACCTCCAAAGAAACAGTGACCAAAATACAAAGACAGTCTACAGAATGGGAAAGGATATTCGCCCAATACACATCAACAAGGGGTTGATATCATGGATATATAAAGTTCTGGTTGAACTCCACAAGAAGAAAACATCCAACCCCATCCAAAAATGGGGCAACAAAACGAACAGAAACTTTCCCAAAGAAGAAATCCAAATGGCTAAAAGGCACATGAGAAAATGCTCCACATCATTAATCATCAGGGAGATGCAGATCAAAACAACAATGAGATATCATTTCACACCACAGAGACTGGCCCACATCCAAAAGAACAAAAGCAACCGGTGTTGGTACGGATGTGGCGAGAAAGGGACCCTCCTTCACTGCTGGTGGGAATGCCGACTGGTTCAGCCCTTTTGGAAAACAGTATGGACTATTCTCAAAAAATTGGAAACTGAGCTCCCATTTGACTCAGCAATACCACACCTGGGAATATATTCCGGCAAGGCAAAAAAGTATAGTTGAAGTGACATCTGCACTTGTTTGTTCATAGCAGCACTGTTTACAATAGCTAGAATATGGAAAAAACCTGAGTCCCCGAGAACAGATGACGGTTAAAGAAACTTTGGTATCTACACAATGGAGTACTATGCAACTGTTAGAAAAAATGAAGTCATAAAATTTATATACAAGTGGTACTACATGGAAAGTATCATGCTAAGCGAAATGAGTCAGAAAGACAGGGACAGACATAGAAAGATTGCATTCATCTGGGGAACATAAAGTAACAAAATAGGAGACTAACACCCAAGAATAGACGGGATAAGCACCAGGAGGATTATTGCCGCACGCGCTTGGGGAAAAGGCAGCTCATATAGAGAAGGGAGCACCAAATAAAGGGTGTTGGGAGGTTCCTCCCAGGATGGGAGATGTGTGATGAGAGTAGACTATAGACCAAACACGATTGCCACTCAATATCTCTTTTGCAAACCACAGTACTCAAAAGGAGAGAGATAACAAAAGGGAATGCCCTGCCACAGAGGTAGGGTGAGATGGGAGGCATGGGAGGTGGGAGGGATACTGGTGTCAGAGTGGTGGAGAATGGGCACTGGTGGAAGAATGGGTATTTGATCATTGTATAACTGAAACCCAAGCACAAAAATTTGTAAATCTACAACTACACCTCATGATGTTTCACTAATAAAAATTTAAAAATAAATAAATAAAGGAATAACATTTAATAGGTAATAATAATAATAATAATAATAATAATAATAATCTGGAGCAATAGCACAGCGGTAGGGCATTTGCCTTGCACGCAGCCAATATGGCCGACCCGAGATCGATTCCTCCACCCCTCTCGGAGAGCCCGGCAAGCTACGAAGAGAATCTTGCCCGCACGGCAGAGCCTGGCAAGCTCCCCATGACGTATTCAATATGCCAAACACAGTAACAAGTCTCACAATGGAGATGTTACTGGGCCCGCTCGAGCAAATCAATGAACAACGGGAGGACCGTGACCGTGAATAATAATAATAATAATAATAATAATAATCAAGTCTTCTGTTCTAGAATAAATTATAGAGTGAAAAAAAGCATCATACCTGGATTCATAAACTGGTCTTCTGTAAGCACATCTCCTAGTGTGAGAGACAGAAACTGGTATTTGGGTTTCTGCCAGCACCAGAATCTTCTCTTTTTGGTCACCAGACTTAGAAGCTGTAATTTATCTGAATCATTCAAGTTGGATACCGCAATCAGGTTACCATCAGCATCAACTTCTTTGAGAAAATTCCTTGTTGCTTTGGCAAACATTTTGAGAGCTCTGGATTACCTGAAAAAAAATTTCCAACAATTAAGAAGTTATTATTTCATGTTTTTTATTCTAAGATGTCCTCCTTTCTCCCTGGTATACATGGAACCACTGGTTCTCCATAGAAACACCTTTAGATGAGTTCAGTTGACGCCAGCTCAAATAAAATTACTGGAAGAGTCCGTGTAAGTCAGGACAAACTATGCTCTGGAAATAAACAACTCCTATGAGTCAGCGGCTTTGTTTGTTATTCATCATCCATAGCCAATACAGGAACATAGAAGATTTTAGCTCCTCAAAGTAATTCCAGGATCCAGTCTGAACGAGCAGCCACCATCTTGAACACTGTCGACTATCAGCCAATGGGAAAGAGAGTTCTGAAAACTCTGATTTGTTTTTATTTTTTCTTTGGGGACCACACCTGGTGGAGCTCAGGGTTTACTCCTACCTTTGTACTCATGAAATACTCCTGGCAGTGCTTGGGGGACCATATGGGATGACAGGGATTGAACCTAGGTTAAGTGCATGCAAGGCAACGGTCCTATCTGCTGTACTATCTCTGCAGTCCCAAGAGTTCTGGAAAGTCTTCTACCAGCAATTTAATGCTCTGGTTCAAAACTGACACAAGGTGGGAGCTGGAGCAATATCAGAGCAGGTAGAACATTTGCCTTGCATCTGGCCGCCTCGGGTTCAATTCCCAGCATCCCATATGGTCCCCGAGCACCACCAGGAATGATTCCTAAGTGCAGAGCCAGGAGCAACCTCTGAGCATCACCAGGTGTGACCCAAAAAGAAAAAAAAACTGACACAAGGCATTCTCATTCACATTTGTAGTGTGGCCTCAGCCAACCATGTGGTTAGGAAATAAAATTGCACCAAGTTTCTGGAAGGTAAAGTCATGGGATAGTTCTTGAACAACATACATACTGCTCTAACTTGTATATGACTTACAGCAATTGCTTTAAAAGACTGGCCTGGTTTTTCCTCTAGTCTGTGATTTCTCTTACTTGCAAGTATAAAGTTATTAGCTATTACTTTAACCAAGAAATAAAGAACAGTGCCAGAACAAGAGTACAGAGAGTAGAGTGTTTGCTCTGCACACAGCCAACCCAGGTTCCATCCCAGGCATCCCAAATGGTCTGTCCCACAAACCCTTCTAGTGATTCCTGAAAACAAGCCAGGAGTAAGCCCTGAGTGCCAGTGGCTATGTACTAAAACCAAAGCAAAATTAAAAAATTTTTTTTTAAAAAAATGAAGAACTCACTTCAACTGAAGGCAAAAATAAGAGAAATAGTGAAAGATTCTACAAGTACTGTGTTCCATAGAAGAAGCATAGGTCAGTAGACAGTGTTATATCAACTAGTTAATCTGCAAGAAAAAAAAATCAGCTCCGCCATACACATGAGAAAATATTCAATAGATTGTAGTGATTTCTGAAAAACAATTAAACCATGAAAAGTATCAAAAGGAGCACTCTGAAGATCAAAGATCAAAGTACCACAGGTAAGGCACTTGCCAAACAGAAGGCCAACCCGAGCTCAAATCACTGATACCATATATGTTCCCCAGAGCACCTTCCCCAGAGCACCTCAGAGAGAGAAAAAAAAGGACACGGACACTAATGTTGTATGTTCTTCATTACCAAACACTTACTCTAGGAGTAAGCCCTCAGCACCACTGGGTGTGGCCCAACCCATGCCCCCCCCCAAAAAAATACTAGAAAAAAGTGCAACTATTTTCACAATTATAGATGAGAAAGGTCTTCCGCAAGACAAACAGGAAAACGAGGAAAAATGCTTACAGTATCTATAACAAAGAACTAGAGAATTTATGAAGGAAGATTTTATAAACTCATCTTAAAATTAGGCTGGAGAAACAGTCCAGTGGGTAGGAAGCATACCTTGCGTACAACAGACCTGGGTTCCATCCCTGGCATTCCATATAGTTCCCTGAGCATCACCAGGCATAACTTCCCAAAATCAATTAATTGATTACTTAATAAAACATGTTCAAGAGTTATGAAAAATTCATGATAAACTGCACATGTTTATCAATTACAGTCAATTATATCTGTAAACAAACCGGTCCACATGTATAACACACATAATCATTACAACTCAAGACAAGTACACATTGAAATAAGATTCTGGTGGCAACAGGTTAATGGGAAAGAAGAGATGGACTAGAAGCACCATAAGGACAGTGTGGAGGCAACATCTGAAACCAGCCAGCTCAGGACACACCATCTTCTGTTCAGAAACCCAATGCCACTTCCCTGTCAGAACTGGAATCACTTGTCAAGCTCTGAGACCCATTTCTGATGGAAGTTCAGGGTTTTAGCATGGAGTAGGGAAAGTAACAGGCTAAGGCGGCCTTGGTGCTGGTCCTAAGTCCTGCCCTGACTGAGAGCTTCAATGAACACTGTGGTGGGAACTCGCTTAGGGAATCAGCCACAAGTCAAAAGGACACAGGTTAGAAGAGAGCAAGACTTGAGCTACTGACAATGGGGCTGTGAACTGTCAGCAGCCTTGAGTACAAGGAGCATGCTGGCCTGTCTGTTTCCCTGGAAAACTGGCAGGATGGTAGGGGGGAGGGGGGGCGGGGAGGAGACACAAGGAAATTCCTCAGGCAGTACCAGCCTGCTGGGAGTTCAGGGGTGAGCTGGCTGATGAGGAAAGAGTGAATGCATCCAGAGCTAGATGTGGGGCAAAGTGACCACAGCTGCTGAAAGTTTGTCTAGACAAAACACAAAGATTAATTTGACAACACGGAAAGAGCTTTTCACCAGACATTGTCTCTCCAGCGACTTGTAGAGAGGCACCCTGCCTGTCCATGAGAAGAGCCTCAGTTTGCCACTGGCATCAAGAGCTGTATTTTTATGCTTCTTATTCCTTTCTGGAACAGTCTGTTAAGATTTGGTTTGGTTTGGTTTGGTTTGGTTTGGTTTGGTTTGGTTTGGTTTGGGGCACACACCTGGCTTTGCTCTGCCTGGTTCTAAGCTTAAGGATCACTCCTGGCAGGACTTGAAGGACCAGATGGGTGCCAGGGACCAAACCCAAGTTGACCGCATGCGAGGCAAGCACCCTAACTACTGTACTATTGCTCCAGCCCCACTTTCTAGAACAATCTGAAAGAGAGTGCCTCAGCCTTCAGAACAACTAGGTTTCTGCAGAAGCCACATCAGACACTGAAATAAACACAGCAAGGCTAACAAGACCCATCTGCTGTGGCAGCAAAACCCCGGTCAGGATGTCAATCCCCAGGGGGCTGAGAGACCAAAAAAAAGGACAAGGACACTAATGTCGTATGTTCTTCATTACCAAACACTGAACACAGTCAAGGTTCCTGCTTTGTTTTCAAGTTGCCTTTTAGATAAATTAAAATCCTTTAGGAAAAACCAATCAAGCTATTTGTATATTTTTCTGAGAATCAGATTTAACCAATTAAGGAATTCTTTGAGAATATTCTCCTTCTGAAGTTTCTTTGTTTTTATTTTCTTTTATTTTAGTGGTGCAGAAGGGAGGGATGGGGTGGGGGGGTCAGAATCCAGAGCCTCATCCCCAGCTCTCTCTTCATAATTTGTAGCTACAAGTTTCTGTGTAAACATTAGTATTTGAATGCAAGCATTCAAATACAATACATACTGTGTTTGAACACATCCTTCATTTAGCGGCTCAAATATCTAAACTGCCCTAAAAACAAAACAAACAAACAAACGAAAACAAGAGCTCTCGTTCTACCAGCATAGACCCTCTACCATGCACAACCTGAACACAACCTTGCCTGAACACAACCCTTTCCAACCCCCTGGTATGTCACCGTCATGATGCTTCGTACAGGTAGAAGTAACAGAGTCTGCACACTGTTCTCCACCTTACCTATTGTCAGGAAAAAATAGACTCCAGAACCTTCCCTACCTTTCTCTTCACAAAGGCAAAATTATCTTGCAGAAAGATCTATTGTGTAACCCTCTCTGTTGGTTAATCTGACTGCTGGTCACTGGAGCTATTTCTAAATTGTTATTATTGGACTGGAGAGATAGGAAAGCATGGAGGGTACTTGCCTTGCATGTAACCAACCCTGGTTCAATCCCCAACATCACCAGGACTGATTTCTGCCAAGAATAAGCCCCAAAAACCATCAGGCGTGTCTCCCCAAAGAAAAACTAAGTTGTTATTTAAGTGCCATACTACATTCTTCTAAATGTATATCTTCATCATACACGGGCAAGTGCCCAGAAGGGAAGCTCCTACAGGGAACCCTACAGCAAGGAGAAATGGTTCCTCACTGAAAGGAGGCTCCATTCTCAGGTCCCACCAATATGGTATGAAAATATTAGTCGAGCTGGAGAAATAATGCGGGAGTGAAGGCACTTCCCTTGCACACAACCAACCCAGGTTTGATCCCCAGCACTCCATATGGTGCTCCAAGCCCTTCTAGCAGTGCTCTTTGAGTGCAGATCCAGGAATAAGACCGAACACTACAGGGTGTGGCCTAAACTTCCAACACCCCATAAAATGAAATATTAATCTCAGCAACAGAGGATACTATCAAATGGGCATCTGTGTAAATTTCATAGGTGAGAAGTAGTATAATGTGATTTCCTCTTTTTTTCCTTTTTTTTACTCTTTGGGTCACACCTAGTGATTTTCAGAGGTTACTCCTGGGTCTGCACTCAGAAATTAATCCTGGTGGTTCTCAGGGAACCATACGGGATGCCAGGATTTGAACCAGGGTAGGCTACGTGCAAAGCAAACACTCTTCCTGCTGTACTATCGCTCCGGCCCCTGTGGTTTCAATATAAATGAAATCAAATGCCTTGTTTATAAGCTTTTCTATGTATTTCCTTTTTGTGTCCCTGGTCCATTTTTGTTGTTGTTGTTGTTGCTTTTTAAAAACTAATTTCTAGAAACTTCAAATATATTAGCAAAATCAAATAAAATATAAGATAGAAAATACAATAGAGCTTATGGTGTGGCACTGGAAGTGTGTAAACTGCTATCACCCCTATGAACACCTAAAGTAACCATTTATTTACAAAAATGGTCTATTAGGACTGGAGAGTTGGGCCAAGGGGCTGTAGCTCATGTGTTGCATTCAGGGCCCTGGATTCAATCCCAGGCCCTGCACAGTGCCCTGACAACTGCCTTGCCTGAACACAACCAGGAGAAGCCAGATGGGGCACACAAATCAAAATAATAATTTTCCCCTTTGTAATAGCCTCAGGAGAGACAAAAATCCACCGCATTTAACTTCTGTATCAGAAGTCCAGGGCTTCTCTTAGCATCAGTTCCTACTCATCTGCCATGGTGGCCCCAGCTCAAAAATGATGAGCAGCCAGAAAGCCAAAGTGAATGTAGCAAGGATGTGCAAGTTTGATTCCTACTCTAGAACGACAGGAAGCCCCAAAGGAAGGGAGCAAGAAAACAAGGCACCATTACCAATCCACAAAAATGTCCCATCAGCCAGTGCCCCTCACTGCTATGAACAAAAAAATCCTAAAAATATGGTGGCCAGAGAGATCATACAGTGGGTAGGGTGTTTGTCTTGCACATGTTGACCTGGATTCAACCCCTAGTATCTAATATGGTCCCCGGGCACCACCAGGAGTAATTCCTGAGTGCAGAGCCAGTAGCAACTCCAGAGCATCGCCAGTGTGACCCAGAAAATAAAAAAAAATTAAAAATTAAAAATTAAAAAAGTCGCAATGTTTCACAAACTTTTTTTACGGAATTATTTTTTGACATTCCATTTGCCATTTTGTTGAAACAATCAATATAAAAAATAATTTTGTCCCTGCTAAGAGGACAGGCTTAGTGGATGGGGTTGGGAAACCAGGGAAAATGGTGAAGAGAAGTCACACTGGAGGTGGAATTGAATGCCTGAATATAACTGTATTATGAACAACTTTGTAAACCATGGTATTTAAATAAAGTTTTTTTAAAAAGAGTTGCAAGATAAGGATTGCCTGACAAGATACTCTAGTCACTAGAGTCCATTCTGTTGCTGTATTGTGTCTGGTGCGAGGATGGATATGCCTGATTGATGCTGGGGATAAGGGGACCTTCCATGCCAGGGATTAGGCTCAGAGCCTCACAAGTGTAAGGCTTTGATGCTGAGCCACACCCTGGTCTTTTAGTGTTCATTCCTAAGACTGACTTAGGCAGACTGTCAGAATGACCACATCTTTGGGGAGAAAAGGACTTTTGTCTTCCTTCCTCATACCTAATTTATGCTTCTTCTCCAAAAGCAGCTCTGGTTGATCACTGATCCTTTGCTTAAATCTTTTTAGGGACTGGCCCCCAAAACCACAAGAGCAACTGAAAAGAAAAGAAGGGCCTTACTGACCAGTAAACAGTAAACTGGGCAGCATGTCTAATCAGCACAGTCTTTAGAGAAAGCTTCAAAAAGAGCAAGAGAGGATCTGGTTTTATGCCAAGTAAACTTAGGGTGACATAGTAACTTTACACACATGTAGAAGTTTTTTTAGGAAATTTCATGCATAATCATGAAGGAGAAAAGTGAACCAGTGCAACTGGGAGAGAGACAATAAACATACATAATCAAATATGGCAATACATAAATGGCGAAAAAAAACATCAGCAGGGTTGATTCCTGAGTGCAGAACCAGGAGTAACTCCGGGGGGCAGAGGGAGGAGAGGAGGAGAGGGGGTAAGGAAGAGGAGGAGGCGGTAAAGAAGGAGGAGGAGAAGAGAGAAGGAGAAGAAGAGGAAAAATAAAGAAGAATAAGGAGAAGGAGGAGGAGGAGGAGGAGAAGAAGGAGGAGAAGGGGAAGAAGGAGAAGAAGAGGAAGAAGGAGAAGGAGGAGGAGGAGGAGGAGGAGGAGGAGAAGGAGAAGGAGAAGGAGAAGAAGAAGAAGAAGAAGAAGAAGAAGAAGAAGAAGAAGAAGAAGAAGAAGAAGAAGAGAAGGAGGAGAAGGAGAAGGAGAAGAAGAAGAAGAAGAAGAAGAAGAAGAAGAAGAAGAAGAGAAGGAGGAGAAGGAGAAGGAGAAGAAGAAGAAGAAGAAGAAGAAGAGAAGAAGAAGAGAAGGAGGAGAAGGAGAAGGAGAAGAAGAAGAAGAAGAAGAAGAAGAAGAAGAGAAGGAGGAGAAGGAGAAGGAGAAGGAGAAGGAGAAGAAGAAGAAGAAGAAGAAGAGAAGGAGGAGAAGGAGAAGGAGAAGGAGAAGAAGAAGAAGAAGAAGAAGAAGAAGAAGAGAAGAAGAAGAGAAGGAGGAGAAGGAGAAGAAGAAGAAGAAGAAGAAGAAGAGAAGGAGGAGAAGGAGAAGGAGAAGAAGAAGAAGAAGAAGAAGAAGAAGAAGAAGAAGAAGAAGAAGAAGAAGAAGAGAAGAAGAAGAGAAGGAGGAGAAGGAGAAGGAGAAGAAGAAGAAGAAGAAGAAGAAGAAGAAGAAGAAGAAGAAGAAGAAGAAGAAGAAGAGAAGGAGGAGAAGGAGAAGGAGAAGGAGAAGAAGAAGAAGAAGAAGAAGAAGAAGAAGAAGAAGAAGAGAAGAAGAAGAGAAGGAGGAGAAGGAGAAGAAGAAGAAGAAGAAGAAGAGAAGGAGGAGAAGGAGAAGGAGAAGGAGAAGAAGAAGAAGAAGAAGAAGAAGAAGAAGAAGAAGAAGAAGAAGAAGAAGAAGAAGAAGAAGAAGAAGAAGAAGAAGAAGAAACTTAAAGTCAGAAGGCTCCATGCAGAAGCTCCCACTCACCAGCCAATCAACAGCATGAAGGTATTTATGAAGCTCTGTTCATACAATCTGTCCATCGTCTCTTTAGAGACGATGGTCAAACTACAAACCCAGAAAGTCCATATAAATAGGGAGAGTGCTGGTGGTTAGAGGGACTGGAGGACACAAAGTTGGAAAAAAAAATGTTTTTGGAAGGGGGCACAGCCAGCTACACTCAGGAATCACTTCTGACAAGGCTCCTGGTGAAGGGATAGAACCCAGGTCAGCCATGAGCAAAGTCAGTGCCTTACTCACTGTATTCTGTCTCCAGGCCTAACTTTTATAATTTGATTGAAGGAAGAAAATTCAATATCAAACTTCACTCTAGAGAGGGGCAAGTGTCAGAGGAGGACCTGTGATCATTTCCTCAGGAACAGATCCAAAGGCTCCACTTTACCGGGTTGTGAGTCCCTGTCCTGAGGCGCATGAGCCAGTCAGGGAACAGAAGCACCAGACCTAGCCACTCTGTGGCATGCAAAATCAAGACAAAAGCAAGTCTGCTCCTAAACCTGAAGGACTACACACCACACCACAAACGCTGTCTAAACCAGAACTCGGGAAACGTTTTCTCTTCAGGCCTTCCCACTCCCCCCACCCCCCCCCCCCCACACACACACCCTCCCACCTCAATTGCCCTTCCAGAAGGGCAAGACAGGTGAGAGTTGCCAGAAACAGTCAAAATGTGATTGGTCTTGAATTGATGTTGGGTCATAGGGCATTCAGAAACCTTTCCCGGTTGTCAAAGTTTTCATGACCCCCCACATTCAGTCACAACCCACACACTTTCAGTAGCTAGGTAACACACACAAATGATCAAGCACACTTTCATCTACCGCTCCCAGCCACTGCTTTTGCCTTGATCTAAACCATAGTCCCTCTGTCTAAACCATATTTGGGAAGACAAGCCTAAATCTTATCCCTCTTCCTATCCCATCCACACAAAGCCGGGCTTCTTTAAACTTCCTCCGAGTCTCTGATAAGCCCAGATCTTGGGGGTAAGGGAAGCACTCACTGGCTGGGAGGCCTGGGGACACCCTATAATGTGAGGTCTCCTTCACTGTAGGCAGCAGCTCACCCCCCCCCCACCCCAACCCCGGCCCCGCGTGGCCCTCAAAGCACAGGTCAGGCACGGAAGAGAACTGAGAGACAATCAGCGCTGAGACCAGATTCCAACCAAGGAACTCCCCTGCCGCCAACCTGGACCTCTAACCCCACTCTGACTTCCTCAAACATCCAGTGTTTTAACGCTTGCGAGCACAGGGTCCGAGACATCTAGAACAGCGGGTTAAGGCGCTTGCCTTGCTCAGGAGTAAGCCCTGAGCACGGCTGGGCGTGGCTCCAAAACAAAACAAAATTGTATCTTTCCAAAAAGCAACCTGGGGCCTGAGAAATGACGATGACAAGACAGGCATGAACTTGAAGAAGAAAATCAGGTGAGGCAGTACCGGCTTTTGGGGAGTGGAAGGAATTCAGGACAGAGGTGCCGGGAACCCCAAGTCTCCAGAAAGGCCAGAAGGCCCTAAAGAGCCTCCAAAAGGGGGCGGGGGGGGGGGCTGAGGTCCAGTCGCTGGAGAACTTCCGTGATTTCTCCCATCTCCCTGGGCTCAGTCTCCCTGGGCTGTTTTCCCAGGGTAAGCGCTCCTCCTCTTTAATTCAAACAAATTAATTGTTGGAAAACACGGCACTTGATCCGCAGCATCTCTAAGTAGCGGGCACTTTCCCCCCTGGGAGCCGGCGCCTCCCTCCCGCGAGGTCCTGTCTGCTTCTCCCTTGCGGGGTTCTGGGCAGACCCTAAGGTGGGGCCGGACAGAGACGAAAGCAGGGCGCCGGCTTGGCATGCGGGGGCCGGCCTCCATCTCCGCATGGTCCCCGGGAGAACAAGCCAACACCACCGCCGGGTGTGCCCCCCCCCCCCCAAAGAGCAAAACCCACCGGGACAAACGACTCGCAGGGTGCCGCCAGCTGGCGTTCCTCTCGGGAAAGCCACTTGGGCTGCAGGGTGTCATCCCAGGCCAGGGAGCACCTAGTGTGTTTGGGGAGGGGGGAGCTGTTCCGCCTCCCCCAGCGCCGACTTGGACCCCGGATGCAGGCGAAGGGGGGCGGTGGGGTGCACCGAGCCCGCCAGGCCAAAGACCCGCAGACAAAGGAGTGGGGGGAGGCGGACCGCACCCCCCAGCTAGAAGCTGAAGCAGCAGCGGCCGCGGGAAAGCGGGATGCCGGCCCTGGGCGGCAGGCCCGGGTGGGAGAAAAGGGAGAGACGGTCCGCGCGCGCGCCCCCCCGCGTGCACTCACCTCCCGCAGCTGCGCGCCCCGACTCTCGGGCGTCCCCGGGGAGGGCCCGGCCGCGGGGACCTTTGCTCGGTTCCCGCCTTCCCGAGCCGCGGGAGCTGCGGGGCGCGGGGTGCGCCGGGCGGAGGCGGGGCGCGGGGCGGGGAGACGGTTCAGGCCGGCCCGGGGCTCCCCGCGGCCCCCGGCGCCAGCGAGCGGCTAAAGTCCCCGCCCACCTTCCCGGGCCTTGAGGTCAGGGGCGCTCCCGGGATGGTGGGGGGGGGGGGGGGTTGTCCCTGGAGGTGTGACCTGGCCTCGCTCTCCCTGGGCCTCGGATCGTGGCGCCTAGTGGGGTGTGGCCGGACACTGTCTAAGACCTCTCTACTCCCCCGGCACCCCCCTCGCTGGACCCTGGGCGTTTTGTCTGGCATCTGCATCTGCGCCCAAGCTGAGGGCCCTCACAGACTAGATACTCATTCATGCTGAATGAATAGGCTTGAATGACTTTCAGAGGAGGCTACAGGGTTGCCACTGGCTGACTTGAACATTGCATCTTTTCTGCTAGAGTGACAGCAAAGAACTGAGAAAACGTTCCTTCCCTCATTAGATTACACTTAACGATTGCAGTGACGGAAGTAGGCAAAGGGACGTACATGATAACCTCTCAATACCTGTTTTGCAAACCATAATGCCCAGAAACAGGGAATGCGGGGGAGGGGAGAGAGACACGCATACAGACAGAGACAGAGACAGAGACAGAGAGAGGCTTTGGGAGGATGGGCAGGAGGGAAATTTGGGGCGTTCATGATGGGTGATGGAACATTGTTTAACGTTTCATGAACAACTTTGTAACTGTGTGTCTCAGGGTGATTCATAAAAAAGGTGTAGTGTCTTCTTGCTGCCCTTCACTGCCTCCCAAGAGGCAGAGTGCTCCCCTGGAGTCCCTTATTTTTTGCACCTATCCCTAGCCTGCAAGTTACTCCTTATCTCAGTAAATCCATCCTGGACTTTTGAAACTGAATGTGCAACCAGTTCACGTCCTACAGGATCCCTCCTCCCAGTTCCTCCCCTACTTTCTTTTCCGCCTTTGCCCATCACCATCTGATCTGTGACTGGCAACAGTTGGTCAGTGAAAAGGTTATTGCTGTCCCTAACACGTGCTACAGTACTATTATGAATACTAAAATAAAAGCATTCTTATTATGAATACTGGCTTTTATTTCTGCCTTCAAGGCCCATAAAATAATTTCCCTGATTTAAGAGTCTGCAGGTATGAAAAGGTGGAAAACCAGCCATATGTCTCTTCTTTCTTTTCCCAGAATTGTAGGTCCATGAGAGCAGGGATTTTGCTTGTGGGGTCTCACCGTAAGCTACCCAGTGCCTAATGCTTCCCAGGTAGTCAGTGATGGATGGATGAAGGAATGAAGGCATCCTCTAGTTTGTTGCTTCAAGTAGATAATCTCCCTCATCTTTTCAGTTCCAGACACAAAATAGATACAGAAAGAGTTACTCATAGTTACTGGAGGAAGGAGTGAATAGAGCTGGTCAAGAGACGCCATCCTCCTGCTAGATCCCATTCCCGGCCAAAGTGAGTTGCAATGGGAAAAAAATACATGGTACACGGTCCTCCCATTGTTCATCGATTTGCTCGAGCCGGCCCAGTAACATCTCCATCATGAGACTTGCTGTTACTGTTTTTGGCATATCGAGTACGTCACGGGTAGCTTGCCAGGCTCTTCTGCGCGGGCGAGATACTCTCGGTAGTTTGCCGGGCTCTCCGAGAGGGGCAGAGGAATCGAACTCGAGTCGGCCATGTTGGCTGCATGCAAGGCAAACGCCCTACAACTGTAATTTCAATGCCCAGGGTTATCTATGCCTCTGGTTCTCTGTGTTTGTGTAACAGTGTAGTGATGACTCTGGCTTGTTATCAGAGAGCATTTATTGTCTTCTGACCTCGACCATTAATCTTAAGAACATCCTTATAAACAGCAAGTTCATTTGAGTTTCACCAGCAGGCCCCACCCTCTATCCAGATAAGATACCACTTGTAATTGAGTGTGCATGAGTATTGTGTGTGTGTGTGTGTGTGTGTGTGTTTTAAGGGAGGTTGCAATAACTACTCATGACTTCAAATCCCTTCACTTTTTGGCCTATCCAATATCTTTCAATGAAATGTCAGTAATATTTATAAGGCATTTTGTATTTACTACCTTCGAGCACACTTCTAGATACCCTGCATGTATTTATTGACTCTTGAATCTTCACGAAAATCAGTTTGAGGGTCCAAGATACAAGTAAGTGAATTCAGGGCCAGAAGGAAAGTAGTTCATCAGACCAGAGCACAACCTTTGCTTGCAGGGTGCTGGGGTTTGATCGCTGACACGACATGGTCCCCAGAGTACAAAGCTCTGTAGCACTGTCCTCCCGTTGCTCATTGATTTGCTCGAGCAGGCACCAGTAATATCTTACCAAGGTATTGAGAGTATCTCGACCTCACGGCAAAGCTGACAAGCTCCCTGTGGTGTATTCAATATGCCAAGTACAAAGAGGGAAGTATAAAATACTTTCAGGTATTGTCTCACAATTTCTTTTATTTGGGGGGTTTGGGGCCATATCTGGCGGTGAAGAGGACTTTCTCTAGGCTCTGTTCTCTGGTATCATTGCTGGCAGTGCTCAGGTGCCAAATGTACCTGATCTATCTCCAGCAAAGCAAGCACCTCAGCCCCTCCACCATCTCTCCGCATGACCCCTTCCTTGTTTTTTTAAAAGAAATTTCTTTATTTTATTTCTTTATTTTTAAATTTTTATTAGTGAAATACCATCAGGTACAGTTGTAGACAAATTTTTGTGCTTGGGTTTCAGTTATACAATGATTGAGTACCCATTCTCCATTACCAATGATCTCAGTATCCTTCCCATCCCACCCCGCCTCTGTGGCAGGGCATTCCCTTTTGTTCTCTCTCTCCTTTTGGGAGTTGTGGTTTGCAATAGAGGTATTGAGTGGCAATCATGATCAGTCTATGGTCTACTTTCAGCGTGTACCTCCCATCCTGGGCGGATCCTCCCTTCCTTGTTTTTTTAACAGTAAATTGAGGCACCGGTTGTAAAGCCCACCCAACTGGAAAGAGTCAGGATCAAGACTGTTTAAGTGCAGGTCATGTGACTTTGCCTGAGCTTGAAACCAGAACACTGGAGTTTGTCTAACAGAAGCCAGGACACACAATAAAAAGTTGGCCTGGTCTTACTTTCCTGCATTGTTTTCCAATTGCTGTGTTTAGGATTATGGTTAAAACTTTTAGAGACTCAGAGATAAATCCAAAATGCAAACTTTTAACAAGAAACAAAAAAATGAATAAAAAGAAAATATCAAAACATAGCTGAGTGGATGCAGTGCATGCTTTGCATGTGGAAGGCCCAAGTTCTAGTACGGGCACCAACCACATGGTCCCTAGAGCACCATTGAGTGTACTCCTATCCCCCCACCTAAATAAATTAATAAATCCTGAAGATATAACACAAGTGAAATCAGTTAAAGACAAAATACTGGATGACTTTACTTATCTGGACAAGATAAAGAAATTCAACTAAATAATAAGTAAAGCAGAAGGAACGCCAATTCCTAGATAATTAGAAAAAAATGGGGGTCTGGAGAGATAGTCCAGTGGGTAAGGTGCTTGCCTTGCATACAGCCTACCTGAGTTCAATCCCCAATATCCTATATGGTCCGCTGAGTACCACCAAGAGTAATACCTGAGTGCAGAGCCAGGAGTAAACACTGAGCATTGTCAGGTATGGCCCAACCCAACCCCCATCCCCCATCTCTCTCTCTCTCTCTCTCTCTCTCTCTCTCTCTCTCTCTCTCTCTCTCTCTCTCTCTCACACACACACACACACACACACACAGAAAAGAAGAAAGGAGTTGGGCCGATGTGATGAAAAGGGTTCAGCTGCATTGTGGAGGACAGAGACTAGACTTAAGGGAACAATCATAGGCAACCCAGAAGCAAAGTAGCCTGGCACCTACATAATGTTCAATTACTGCCATTAAAAAATGCATATTAAAAATGATGTAAAATATCAACCGCTCATTCCACTGTAACTATTTTCCTTTAAAGAAATAGAGCTAGGGGGCTGGAGTGATAGCACAGCAGGTAGGGCGTTTGCCTTGCATGTGCCTGACCCGGGTTTGATTCCTGACATCCCATATGGTCCCCTGAGCACCGCCAGGAGTAATTCCTGAGTGCAAAGCCATGATTAACCCCTGAGCATCGCCAGGTGTGACCTAAAAAGAAAAAAAATAGTATAGTGGGTAAGGCAGACCTGGGTTCTATCCCTGGCATCCCATATGGTTACCTGAACACCACCAGGAGTGATTCCTAAACGCAGAGCCAGTAATAAGCCCTAAGTATCACTAGGTGTTTCCCCAAGCCAAAAATGTTTTAAGAATTATAAATGGGGTCATACATCGAACCAGAATGCATGTCTTTCATGTAGAAGTTCCAGGTTTAAGGCCAGATGATAGTACAGTAAGTCAGGCAATTGCCTCACATGCAACAAACCCAGGTGAAATCTTCAAAACCCCATATGGTTCCCTGAGCCCTGTCAGTAGTGATCCCTGAGCGCAGAGCCAGGGGAATAAGTCCTAACCATCACTAGGTGTGGCCCAAAACCTAAAATAAAAGTGAAAAGATTCAATATATAAGCTATGTTTTAAGTTATAGAATGTCTGAAACCCATCTCTGGGGTATTGTGTTCTCCTTACACTTATTTGCCAGATCCTTACTAAGTTAAGAACTTGTAAAAGTCAGCAAAATTGATTAAAGTTCATTCATGGGCATGTTTCATAAATGAGCATATTAATGAGTCAGCCTGAACAGATGCCAGAACAACATCCTTGTTGGAAACAGGGTCTCTTTAGGTTACTCTCTGGGTTCCTCCTCCTCTCTGAGATGTACAGAGACTTTGAATGATTCCTATTGGAATCAAATCAGCCTAACACTAACCAGATAAATGCTACTTTGGCAAAATTTTTAACTACCTACTCAATACCTTGGGGTGGGGGAGCATGCAAGAGTCATAGTACTAACCCTAAACCTAACCCTAGCCCTAACCTTAACCCTAACCCTAAATGTAGCATTTAGTTTCATAACCATCAGCTCTGGTTCAATCCCTAG